TCACCGTGGGAGAAGTCCCCAAACGCGAGGACCTGCAGAGCCGGCAGTCCGTGGGGGCCGAATGCCCATTCAGCAAACGACACGAGATCCTCGGCCTCTGCAATCGCTGCGGAAGACGCAAGGACTGCCTGCTGCGGGTCCATATACTCGAATTGTGACCTGTCAAAGTACTCATCGAAAATAGGACCGTAGTTGTAGTTATCATTGGAGGCATTCCGGTTCACAGAACCCCAGCACGAACGAGGATGCCGTGAGTACCCTTTGCGCGTCTCATGTAGAAAGGTGGTAATCTCTCGTGGGATGTCTCGGTGGATTCGATCGAGGCCGCTGAACCGCAGATGTAGAATCTGAAGCTGGGAATGCTTGGCCGTGGGTCGAAGGCACAGACGCTGTTCTCATTAGCGGGCACACGTTTACTGGACGGAGGAAAACTTACAGCTGCAGATGGACTAGCACACAGACCCAGAGCAGACACCTGGCCCAGGTCTACAATGGCAGACAAGTTTGTTACCCACGCGGGTGACACATCACGATCATCCTCAAATAAGCCATCGGCATCGATGGGAGCGAGTTGGCGCTCATGGTAGACGAGGCTTTTCAACGTAGACTGGTGATGTCGGATGGCATCCTGGATGTGAGATTTTGACGCCGGGAAGTTGGACAACCTCAGGTATAGATGCTGTAGCCCACGAAACGAACATAAGAACCGCACAACAGCAGATAGGCTACGTCCTTCACCCGGTTCGTGCAGCAGGTAATCGAAAGAAAATTCAAAATGCGTTAGTCGGAGCGGCTTTTGTGACCGCGACAGTAATTGCACGAGACGCAGCTGATTCGGGCAGTCGCGCAGCGTGAGCGCTCGCAGGGAATAGAATATCGCATCGCGCTCTGATGAGATATCTGGAGGCAGGGTCACCTTTGAAAGTGATAATGTGGACAGAGCGGGAAGAGCTGTCAGATTCCCGATCCCTGTATCCCCGTTCCTTGTCTCACCGGTACCTATATTCCCGACCCCGAGCTCCGATTGCTGAAGCCCAAGGCTCTCCCAGCACAGAGCACGGGCAAAAGCTGATGGAACGAAGCCGATGGACAGATGATCCAGGCGGCGCCAGTTCCGACGGATGCACTGTCGTAACAAATCAACCTCGGACGGATGTTGGAGTCCTTCCCACTCAAACGCCGTCAGGCAGGATAGTCTAGACACTCCTTCCAAGCGGTGCAATGTTTCAGGGCAGGTACCGTCAGTGACGAGTGAGAGACGAGTGAGGCGCTGTTGGTACCGACTGAGATAGCCTTCCTTGTCGAGAACTCCCACCGGAACACATGTCCCTAGGCGCCATCTATTGCTAGTCAATCACAGGTCTCGATAGACAGATACCGGCTTATACGAACTCAAACGTGCTCAGTCTATTCGGCTTCAGGTGGGTGAATATCAGCTGCAATTGATCCTTCACGTCGTCTAGGAATTGCTGATGTGCCGTCGCCTCGTCCGAGGCTCCCAGTGTAGCCGGAGACTCCGGCAGCCCCGCTGCACGAAATATGTTGTAGTATGCACATCGGTTAAACCGAACAAGGTGGAATGGAGCTTTGATCTGTAGGTGCCGCACGTGCTGGAGATAGTCCGCGGCCCGTGAAGGACCGAAACGGAGAAAGAAAGGGTCGACATTCAACACATTCAGCGCCCATTCACTTGCTGCACAGAATGAAATGGTACGGTATATGCGAGGAACCAAAACTGCATACAATCTGGACGAGACTCGGCTGAGAACGCGTAGAGTGGTAGCTGACAGCTGGCAGGCGGTCAGTACCGTGATCAAATAAAACACAATGGAACTTACCCAATCTGCGATCAGCATCAGAATCTCACACGGCAAGTTCTCTAGCATTGTAATCTGTGCTCACAACCGCTCTGGACAGCAAGAGGCTTATAAGCACGCATCTATCCGAGCACACAGTCAAGTTGCCCAGACATTGCCATTGCGCAGAGGATATATGTTCAATTTCCGCGGGTCATGCATCGCGTTGGATGGAAAGCTCGTTCGGCCAGCCCTTGATAAACAGGCTCAGCGCCGTTCCTGTAACCGCTCTTCACCCGCAGGCCACCAAGTCTTGCAAAACGCATTGCCAAGCTCAATAGTCGTTCGACATGAGCGGCAACCAATCAATTGACCATAACATGGTATCTTCACCGAAATTGGCAACCACAATATGAAAAATTGATGGACTGAGGAGTCGCTGTTCGATACAAAATAAGAACGTTCAAAGGGCAGATCTGGTCGGATAAACATGTCGGCGCACGGTTCATGAGGGGCAACGGAACGGGTCGCGGTTGGGACGGTCAGTCGCGGTCGAACCGGTTATCATTGCGGTTCGACCGAAAACGCAACCGATTGCACTACTTTACCAAAGGGCCATTTCATACATAATAGGTGATCGTAGTAGGTCAAGCGAGACTTGTGTTGGCCCGGTCTAGACGTCCAACCACCAAACATCAATGGACATTAGGCCGTTTGCTTAGACAGGAGTTAGAAGTGAAATTTGATCTCTTGCGTTTACGGTATAATCTGCGTGTTGAGCTTTCCTGTGCTTGCACAAGTTCGCCGGCAGGAGTAAGGCACCGGGTGATAGGATAAATCTACAACGTGGTCGGTTGACCTGGCAAAACCACTCACTCTGTCGTGCAATAGGAATAGATTACAGTACCACCAAAGTGAGAGAGAAAAACACTTCCACTCATACCAGAAACTACACAAGCAGTACGAAATTTCTAAACAATCACTTAGTCGAGAAGGTTCTGCGAGTGTCAGAGATATATATACAGAATGTAACTCTGAGATACACAAGGTCTCGGCCATCGTGGTACATTGTAAACAGATAAAAAAAGGTCGAATCGCCCAGGTTCCATATCAGGGATGTAGCCTTCTTCGATCGGCAATGGAAGGCCTCAAGGCAAGGACGCAATAGAGAGGTAGTGATGATCCAATGTTTTGCTCCTGCCAGTTCATCCAGGCCCCAGTATTTGAGCGATCACCCAACTTTGCAGCCTCCACAGCTTCTTTAGACCTCAATAAAGCTTATGCTGCGTTTTGAAGTACTGCAGGTAAGAAAATCCTCGAATAAGTGACGGCATTGTAGGCCAGGACTAAATGCATCACATAGAGACTAGGCCGCCAGCCATTCACTACACCAATCCTCTCTAACGGACGAAGCAGATAGAACGCAGCTCCAAGAGAATTCCCGATGGCGATTCGGCCGAAATGTACCGCCAATGCGGGCGGACTTTGGAACGTCCCGGTCAGGGCATAAATAGTTGGTATGAGCGAAAGTAAGCTCAGTGAAATGCAGCTGTACGGAAACCGGTACTGAACCGCACAGACACTGGGATCGGAGACCACAAAGTCCACCAGGATGCCGACAGCAACAACGGTAAAGGCAGCTAGGTATCCGAGCTGGAGGCAGGGTTCGGTGCGGAACAGCACTACCACCGAAGGAAGGGTGGCCGCCCAGATCAGGACCAAAGTGGCTCCAAACTCCAGCTTTTGCCACTCTGCCGCATCATTGCCCCCGAAAGCGTCTAGAAAACGGTAGAAGAGGCTGGACAAGCACCAGATGATGACACTTGCGCAAAAGGCAAGCACGGACAGGGAGTCCAGAATACCTCCGGGGGTAGAGGGGAAATGGAAGAGCAGGAAATGAATCACAAAAAGATAAAAGTAAAACAATCCAAAGACATTAATTATGGTGAGAATTGCAAAATCGTGCAGGGACTGCGCTTTTGGGTCAGCCATCGTGGGTCGCGTGCTTATTGGAGCGATGACTTGGGACAAGCTGGGCTTTTAAGCTGAGCAACAAGAGCGGGCAGCTGTTGGATCGGACGTCGCCTCAGTCCGTGTATATTGCCTGGGACCTAACCAACGCAACTTAGTAGAACATCATGATGATGGAGCAGGTTAGACATCGTGTGTCGGTTAACAAATGGCATTAACCAATGGCTTTTAGAAAGGGTGGTTAAGAGAGGGTGGTAAATGGTGCCACCACGGAAATTGGTCATGATTGAAACACTAGTACCCAATTCTGGGCGGGCATCATCTATGTGGCGGTCGGCGATAGCTTTCTTGTTTTTACTGGCTTACCCTTGGTCTATTTCATGCCCATCAGTTAACTGACACATGAGATTATGCCATCGTAGTGAAATTATCAAGTAATGGAAACGTCCTGGTCGAAACATTTTGTTTTAATTCGGTTTTACAAAGCTTGCCAATACCGCCGGTAATAACCACCCTCAGTCTACTGTTAGTATAAGATTATCACCGCCGCCAAGATACCAGCCGCCTTCTCGCGTCAGAGTAAAGATTAGCAGAGCGCGATGGAGGAAATTGCCAATATTGTTCGACAGATCGGCCGACAGCAGGGAGAAAATGTGTACTTTCGAGCCTGCTACGCCCTTTTCAAACACCTCCAGGACAAGGCCGAGCAAGCATCTGAGGACTTAGTTCGCCTGCACCAATCCGGCGCTTATGGTTTCTCCGATGACGAATTCTACCCCGTCTACCAGGTCGCACAAGAGCTTCAAGCCTCAGTGCACGACCTGGCTGACCAAGCACGCAAGGCGCAATCGGCCTGTGAAGAGTTTTGCGAGTTGGACCCGAGCTATTCGGCCCGCGAAGCTTTCATGTTTACCGATACGGTACAAGCAGCCAGGAAGACTGAAGCTGATGGGTTCCAAGATATCTGTGATAGCCCCCGATCGATGCAGTTCATAATGGTACCGGTGGATGATCACTGAAGGGATCCTGTAGGTGACTGTTTGATCGCTTCGAAGAACTTTGTCTAAATCCTGCGTCACGGTACTGTAACTATAAAAATACAATACATTGAACAGAACACATGATCAGAAATTGACCAAGCCGTCAGAATCATACAAGACCGTTATATTAGCCAATTGGTTTCTTTTGATATGTTGTCCCAAATCTGTAGTCCTCGAATAAATATAAGGCATTTTACGGGTACTGGGCATGCTTCTTTCTGAAAATGCAAGACATAGAAATTACAACATCCCTACAGTACAGTATAGATACAATCTCATTGGTGGCAGTAAAGCATCTACCGCAATCACAAGACAAGTGGAAATATACATGTACTGTACGCTTTAAAGACGGATCGAACTTAGTTTCACCACTTTCTTCTTATTCTTGACTTAATTGATTATGGAACGGTAACCTACATCTAGTTTTGGCCCTTGTATGTGCTTACCAGCTTACTCGCTTTGTACTATTCCACATTCACATCAAATACAGCAGCAAAACATCTCAATAAGCCATATCAACAGGGCCGCGAAGGAAAATGTTACTGCTAGCCAGGTTGCAGTGAACAAATGCGTCCCAAAACTTGCATCAGCTCCCAGAGGATGAAGGATGCTCTGTATAGCTCCCGTTATCAACCCGTAAATTACCGTAACCCCAATGGATGCGCCGGTGACGAAAATAGTTGCAGACTCAGAAATGGTCAGCTTCTTTTGTTCAGGAACAATGTACCAGGGTCTTACTAAGGAGGAAATGATGAGCCATATTTTTCCCCGCGAGAAAAACATTGTTGTGATGCCGAAGACAACAGCCACAAATGTTGAAACGAAACCCAGGATGTAAGCGGAAATTGACCACCGAGAAACATCATGATACCCAGCAAGGACCTTGTTATTTTCATCTGGTAACACCTCCCCGATGGCTGGGGATACCGAACCAAAAATGCTTAACAAGTCGAACGAGAAGGAGGTACTTGGCTGTGAGCAGTTGGAATATGACGCAGTTTCCTTCTGGCCTTGGCAATATCCCCAAAGCCCCACAGAATAGAAATCCGGAAGGTGCGAGTTGATTTCGTCGGATAAAGATTGAACCTTATCGGTGACCTGGCTCACTGCAGTCTCTGCGGCGTCCGATGCATAAATAGCAGCAGTCGAAGCGCTGTTCTTAACGCTGCTCGCCTCACTACTGGCTTTGTTGGCAGCATCGGATGCGTCCACCCCGGCAATACTGAGAGAGCGACGTAGATGAACGCTCCCTAGTTCTGGGAAATTGGTCAGTTTCACCTATAATTTGGACATTAGCTAAACATTCTTTATGTCTATGGGATGTCAGCGTACCTTCAAGAAATACAATTCAGTGGGAGAGGAGGTCGATGTGCATCCCACAAAGACAATGGCTAGGCAGATCAAGGCCAATATTGAGAAAGCCAAGGGAAGTATCTTTCCTAAGTGTCGCAGCATTTTAATTATGCTATACCAAGATATACTGGAAAGAAGTTCAATGTGTCGGTAAGGGTATTCTTGACGAAAGCCCCCCACGAGTACGTAGAAACCATATGCTCTTTATAGAAGCGTTAGCATGTGGTTGATTAACAGAGCAGGAAAACAAATTCAATCAAAATAGCGAAACTCAGGAGCTCCCATTGGATGTAATATTAAAGTGGAAGCGGCACGGCCAATTCTTGAGTACTGTTCGCGGTTGAGACAAAACGGCCCTCATATGTTTACTCTCAGCTAGTTTCGTAGGTATTTTATAGAATAGTTGGAACCTAAACAGTGAGTAAATGGTAGAGAGGATGATGCCCGATTTATGAGTTGGCTAACCGGAGAGGCCAAAATTTGCTCCCTCGACCTTCTCTGTGGAAGAAAAATGACCACTCATTTTTGTATGATGAAAGTTATTGAACATCCCCCCCCCTCTTAAACTGATGACTGCTACGGTAACTTGGTCGAGATGGCAAACACCTAAAAATGGCTCTTTACCTTAAGGGCATTTAAATAGTCCAACCGACTCGACGGAGAAGCTCAAACATACCGCGCTCACTATATTACAAAATGACACGCTTGACTCAAGCTCAAGTGGAAGAAGCCGAGTGCAAACTGTTCACCTATCGCGAGGAACATTTCAAGATGGCCGCACGTGTCGATATCTCTCGTCTCGTATTCGACAAAAACTTCAAGCGGCAGATGAGCGACCGCCAGAATATCATTCGACTTGAGCGAATTATGGACACTCAGGGGTGCCACCGGCTGATGGAAGAATCCCATGTCCCTGTATTGGTCCCTGAAATTGATTGGGAACGTCGCGTTAGACCACGGATGGTAGATGGACAATTCCATCAATTGGATGTCGATATCGACTACCAGTTGCGCGCACAGGATCACGAGAACTTAATTATTGCTGCCCGTAAAAAGCTCAGTCCTAGCAATCAATGGTGGATTGTGGATGTTTATGTCACAGAGCAGACAGGTGGGTAAAGTGGCCGCTACTTCCCAGCTTATCTTTGCCTGATTGCATTCAAGCTAGTGAAGAACCCATACAAGAAGAATTTATCCGGTCTCTTCGAGAGCACTTCCCGAATGATCGAACACCCCCGGATGGGCTAATCTATCAAAGAATAAGGTATTATGAAGGATATCTTGATGGCCCTGTAAACAGGATCGCAGCAAACCATTGGTGGGCTGCTCTAGAAAGGGTTTCTGGAAGCAAAAAGGGAAAGTATTTGCGAGCTTTCTTCAAACATCCGACACTGCCCCAAGCCTTCGATGCTCTGCTCCCTATAGCGGGTATTTGGGAGGGCATGCGAATTGGACTACTCCATAAATTGGTGGCAATGCGTTGTGATGAGGTAAGTTACTTGCTTCCATTTAAATGCCCAAAATGTCATGCTCAGATGGCTAAGTGGAAGCATCAGCCTCTTCTGTGCTATTTGAATCACATAAAGAATACGTTCTTCGGCTTAATGGGAAACAGGCTTGACCTTTTGGCGCAATTAGACGGTGTGACTATCCAACTATTAAAATCCCGTGCGCCCAAAGTCTCTGCTCGGGACTTGAATTTCTTGAAGGAACGAATGTCAAAGGAAGAATTGTTCCCTGATGTTGAAGATGCTCAGGACCGCTCTGAAATTTGGGACCGATTACAAGAGATTCAGTACCCCATACCGACGCTGGAGACATTCTTTAAAGACAGGCTCACCCTGGAGGTCGGCCGGAGTGTGCTACAGCAACTCTACATTCCTGATCCCCATCGGAAGATAACTATCGACGAAGGACTAGGGGAACAATATTACACTAGTGTCCCTGTCATGACTTCAAATCGTCAGCATGGAATACGGGGGGATCTTTATGATTTCTGGCGTTTCAGCTTCCAGTACGGATTCGAAATGACGGATCACAACCGCCGCGTGCCGCGGACAAAACCTGGCACGCAACGCGCGGCAACACCCGCTGAAGGACTTAACATGCCTGAACGATGGAATCTTTGGCAACACCTCTTTCGGCTTGCCAGGGAAAAAGGTTTTAGCACCCCTTTTGTGGATGGACTCCAGGCTGAGCCAGTTGAATTACCTCGCCTCACGCCATGTGACTATCCCGCAAGTGCGGACGAAGATCTGCCGGTGGAAAGACGATATGGAAAGCCATATACGGACTCAGTGGAGGCAGATCAGTTTGCACTTTCGCGGGAGGTATTAGAACTGCCTTGGAGCTCTCCCCGAGTTACTGCAGGATTTGCTAGGCGATCGGTGTTTTTGGCATATTTCCGCTATCTCAAAGATGTTCCTGACAGTCAATTCGTTCCCCCAGTTGAAACCGACGATACACTTCCTCAAGAATCTTCTCCCTGGAATCCGAACTTTGACGACATGATTCAAAATACAATCATTCCACCAGAAGAAAATGAAGCAACTGTGTTCCCCGTCTTTTCTACTCCGCAGTTTGATCCCACATTGGTTACTGCGGCTACGGAGATTCAGCCACCGAGCTGCTTCAACATGAAATTTATCATCCCTGGAGAGCCCGATAAAGTCGTACAGCTACCAAATATTCAATCTGCTTTGAATAAATTCTTTGAGGGTTTCTCAAGAAATCATTTCTATATATATTCTCCCAATAATCCAACACGGGGAATCAATGGGAGAGATTGCTATTCGCTGTACCTAGGAAACCAGTTCCTACTCTTGCACGCCGAGTATATAGGCGATGATGTTTCTCAAACGGTATTCCACGGGTCGACTGAACGAGAGGAAGGAAGAAGGAGCAAGAAACGACGTATGAACGACCGACATGAAATTCTTGGTGCCAAAGAATGGTTGGACTCGAGCCTCAAGGAGTTGGCCCAAGGAAACCCCGCATATCGAGACCAGATAGATCTTCCGGGGGATGAAGATAATATAGAATAATATATTTTTGGACGATCAAACAAATAAAACGGTGAAAATTGATTTCGATCCGCCCTGTAGTATCGTAAGACAACCCAGAGGGCTAGTGGCGACAATGCATGTAGATCGGACTGTCTGTGATTAAACCGAAGCCAACCTTGCTATCATACCAATGCATCTAGTATATAATAATACGCATCGGCAAATTGCAATGCGATAGATAAAGCGCCTGAGCAACATTTTAGAAGAGAAAACTGGCGTGCAGTGATGAAGGTGTTCCTGGCCCGAGCCATTTTGTAGCCCCAGTTTAATGCAGCTACAATGTATTGCTGACACTAACGATGCGGTGTCTGCAGTAAACCCTGAAATCTACCAACTGACGTCATCGGAGCTCTGGCTAACCTAGTTCCTACTCTAGAGGCACCGAAAGCCTTAAGGAAAACTGTCAATCGTCCATCCCCCACTCCAATGATTTCCTCAACATTTTTGAGATGTTTGAGTGTGCAAGTGTACGCCATCATTTATCCACCAGAAAGCTTAATGCTAGTGTTACTGATTTTATTGGGAGTCTGATAATTACCATGTTGAAAGAGCATTAGCTTTAATAATAAACTCGGTGATTGCTAAAAGGGAGAAGGATTGGGGATTGGTCCTTACAGGTTAGAGCTTCATTAGGCATTTACAACGTCGACTTGGTAAATAAGAATGCCGTCAGAGCAAAGTGGACATACTTTTTATCCTTCTGATGTGACGACCCTTCAGTTATGTAAGTAGCAAGCACAGGGTTGCACGTCCTCGCTTTACTTTCACTGTTTTTATTGTTTGTATCTTCTCGAAGAGAGCCAACTAGTCTTAGTGTAGATCCACCCAAACATTCTTTTGTCCCTTCTCGAGACTCAAAGAGATCATCTCCTTCTACATCGTCTGTCCACCAATTCTGATGTAGTAATTGGCATCCTGTGTTGCATTGTTTACAATACCAAAGGTGTAGTAGTTCGCGATCTGGCAGTATTCGAACAGATTTCTCGCTGTTGGAACAAGGTCGTCGCACTTAACGGCAACTTGTTCGGTGTTCTGCAAGGCTGATGTCAGCTGATATGCGTAAAGGGGAATATTGTTTATCGTACGTAATTACAAAAGAAGAGACCGGACTGATTCAAGTAAGAAACCCGAGCGCAACTGTTTGACTCTGCGACACACATTTTCCCCCCTTCGTCTCGAAGATGCTGAATATTTTCTGCAGTGGGACCTACATACGCGATTCCATGCGTAAAGTCACATTCCAGTAGAGACTGAACGGAGTTAGCAAATCATCCACAAGGGGGGGGGGGATGATTGGCCGAATAAGATACGTCTCGTTTTTTGGAGGCAAACCCTTTTGGAAGGTCCGGTGCCGGGAAGCTTGGGGATTCTAAAATCTGTCCTTTCCCCTTAGTTACACGGTTATAGCCAATTGTTCTGGACTCATACCCCTCTTGCAAGTACGCCGCTTTGAGTGCTCTTCTCCTGAAATGTTGGACTCCCGACCTATGGCAAATCAGCGAATAAATTCCTCGATCTCCGTTAAAGTGCCACTAACAGCTTTCAATAGAATCAAGCAGAATGTGAGAAGGTTCTGTGAAAGGTTCATGATGACGAAGAAGCTAGCGAACCCGCTTACATGGGGATCTCTGTTAGATTTTATAAGACTTTTGTGTCTGGTAAGGTTTTCCTAGTACCATCCTCGGATAAGGTCTCCTAGATTGAAATCTGATAGCAGAGGTGTGAAGAGATGGAGGATGGTCGACCTACATCTATGGTAGTTTCTGAGGAGCTTCAGGTAACATTCTAGGGGGGCTTATTTTGACGGTCTTGACGCTTTGTTGGAGCATCGCGGTGGTCTCCTCATAAAGGACAGCGCCATCTACAAAGGAAAAACAAAGAGAAACAACAACCCAGCACTCAACAAAGGACGAAAACCACAGTCCCCATATCTCCCTCCTACGTTTCAATCTTGACCGGATTAACGGAATTCTGAAGGAAGTCAGGCAGTGAGTGAAATAGCGGTAATTAGATTAAGTTATAAGAAGACTCGGATTCCTCCAGCATTTGACGTTGTAAGGAAAGACCCAATACCACTTCCAATCTTCAACAATAACATTTTCGACATGTATGGTCGCCTTTTAATTCTGGCATGTGCTGCTATAGCAAGTGCAAAATTCCACATCAATGAATTTGCTGGAAAAACTTGCGATCTGCTCGATATCTGGAATCGGAACACCAACACCAGCAGCTCGGTCCAATACACCCAGGACAATAATGAGCACTCATTCTTATTGTCTAATGACTGCCAAGGCCAGCTTAAGTCAATCCTGACCAATTGTGAGTATTTGTTCTATGCAGCAAGAAATATCATCTCTAATAATGCCCAGGTTTAGACAGTTCACGCCTCAAATGCAACAACATACTCCTCTCGATTTCCGACGAATCGCCTGCGGATGAATCTATATCTAGAAGGGCTTTGGCGAAGAGATTACAATCTGGTCAATCGCATCCTGAGAGCTGTTCATACGTTGTGTCCGACTTGTCCATCGCAAAAAGCTCAGAAATTGCTAGCAGTCCGAGCGTCACCTCTGGTGCATTGGACTTGACCCAACCGATGACTTCTACAATTGTTGACAAAATAGACCTCGAGTCCGGTGGCAAGTTGAGTACTGCGTATACTCTTGCGATGGTTTCAACTAGGCACCTAAAACCGGTCAGCAGCTATAGCCAGACCCGTGGTTCAATGGAAGCTATGAAAACATCAATTGGTCGTATTTGCTTGATCAAGTAAGATCCCTTTGTTTTGATAAGACGAGTTTAAATATATTAACTGCAACACCACCAGGGAATCAGAATATTATGCAGCCGGCAAAGGCGGCAAGTGTAGGTGCTCTGACGGCGAGACAATTGACTACTCCGTGAATGCATGTGAAATTAAGTTTTGAAATGTAGCTATTCTAGTACGGGTATATTCGAAGATTTACCCCCAAATTTTCATTATTTCTCCGAATGCTCCACTACTGGCACCGTTGTAGGAACTGCTCATCTTTGTATGACCAGGGATGTATATACGAACTAGCTTATAGCGGCAAAGACCACCAGTGCCATGGAGAGCTTCCACTAATTGCTTTGCTGTGATAAAATTAGACCATGACGCGTCTTAAGGTGGATTCAGGAGCCTATTTACTGCGCGAGCAATTGTATCATCGGACCCCATCTGAGTAAAACCCTTTGGCGTAAACTTCCGCACCAATCGAACGGTCTTTACCATACTTGTCTTCAGTAACCAGCAGAGAACTATGGGATCTACTAAGAAATGAAGCCAACCGCCCGTATAAAGTCAAGAAAGAAAAATTTCCGCATCTCCTTTTCAGGTCTCTCGAAATCATGTCGGGCTTGCGGAGTATTAGGATATTATCAAGTTCAGGATACTATCAAGTTCACGCTTCTCGGTTTTATCTACATACTAGCATTATGGACAGTGTGTATATACAACGAAGGACCTAAGCCCCATAACGGAGAAGCCAAAGCAAGCAGCAGGAATATTGTCTCTGGTTGATTGTTGAGGGAGCTGAATGGATCAAAAGTTTGCCGACAGTAGCTGCGCCCGGAGCCTCTTACGGCACGAGAGCCACCAAATGCCAAATAGAAGCAAATGAACAGAAAATGAAGAATACATGTAAAGCTAGAAAGCGGAGGCAAATGCCTTTTCAAGGACAGATCTTAGCTTCCTGAAACGATTGCTCGTTTGAGTAATAATCCCCAGCACCACGAAGAGGTGTCTGTCCAATTGCTGGAGGTAGCGGTAAGCCACTGGGTGATTGTGCCAGGTAGCAGTGGTAGAGCCGTGCAGGTTATCACGCTGGAAGACAGGATCACTGGTTGATTGTGTCAAGTAGCAGTGGTAGAGCCGTGCAGGCTGTCACGCTGGAAGACAGAATCGCAGGATGGTCGTGCCAGGAAGCAGTGACGACCCGTGCAGGTTATCACGCCGGAAGGCAGGATCGCCCTATTATATCCATGTTCCTGTACGGGGAGGGCTTTGGCTTTTGATTCTATTGCAAGCTTACATCTTCTTTTTATCCGAAACTCTTTGCAGAGGCGTGTCCATTTACGTAAATGTCCAGAATCTTTGGGGACTTTTTAGTTTGAGGGTTCCGGAACGTCAGTCCCTGTTTACTCAAATGTTGGTTGGGGGGCGAGCTTTGTCCATATGCTATTTTTCAAATATTTCATATCCACCAATTATATTCAGCACGAGCGTGCGAATATTGAGAAAGGCGACGGAAGAAAAGGACCGTCTGGGTTGCGCAGTCTGGTGCTCATCGCTCCTTACACTGTTCTTGACCGTTTGTTGTTGACCGTTTGTCCTGAACTATCTGTTGTTGACCGTCTGTTGTTGACCGTCTGTTGTTGACCGTCTGTTGTTGACCGTCTGTTGTTGACCGTCTGTTGTTGACCGTACCTTTGCCCAGCGTTTCTTTACTGACCTTTCTCACTGATCTCTTTTTTTCAGTTTACCTGACATGCAGACTGAACACGTGAAACTAGTTTTGCCTGCTACTCCGTCCCGTTCAGTGATCTGTACGGAATGCTAGCCTGATGAGATATTGGAGAAACCCGTGTCAATGCTCCTAAAGAGTCGGAGAATCATATGGGTAAGTGTGGCTCACCTCCGCTTCCAGTCATGAACGGACACGCAGAATCAAGCGAATGAAAACGCAGTGTCCGTTTGAGTATTAGTCAGCTATTCTCGAGCCTAAGGGAGTCACAAAATAAGCCTATTCTGTAACTTATACATATTCCTTGCTATCAGGTGGCGGGACGTAACTCCGTGTCGTATATTTGTTCTCTGGCGGACTCTGTACGGTATTAGAGGTCTTATGCCGTAAATAATACCGTAAACGCCAAATGCCTTCTACAAACTCTTAAAAACGACAAAGTAGATCCAGATTTACTTTTTGTTTCCGCTGCACGTGGACAAAAGGAGCATCTCTATACCGCCCAACATCAAGGCGAGTCCGACTGTGTGGAAATAGGTGACGAATAAACACCTATAGCGCATTCCTACGCTACTTAGGTCTCCCTCGCTCAACATTTTATAGGACCATAGCCATGTCTACTGTAACATGCGTGATGAAGATGCTTTTTGGCGTTGCGATATGGGCCTATCCAGATCCTACCACGCGCGACGGGATATCCGCAACTGCGATGTCTCTACAACTCCATGCGTTTACTGTAAGTTTGTTTGACTGGCCCAGGAAGCTTTGGCTCTGCTACAACTCAATGTCCCAGAAACACCAAATTGCGCGGGCGAAAGCGATGCTTGGACGGAATCTACGCTTGCGCATGCTTAATTGGACAAAATATGCCAAACCCTGTCGTTACTCGCAGCTTTCGCCCCAATCGCACACTTGACAGTCGGTTGTCGATTTACAGTGTAACTTAAATAAACTCTTCGGCGTAGACCGACGGCCAATCTAGCTTCGCATATAGCGATGTCTTTTATTATAAATGCCTTTACTCCGACCCACAGTCCTGGCAGTATCTCGAGCTAATAAGAGCTATCTTTTCATGGGTGGAAGAACTTCGACAGTACTGTATAATCACTGCTTTCTACTTTCTCATTGACTGTGCTATAAAACATTGGCGCCTTAAAAAGAGATTCTTTGAATAGTCTGCTTCCTTGTCTTATATGTTGGATAGATGAGGTTGCGGAAACATAATATAAAACTGTTTGGTTCTTCCTTGGACAAAAACAATTGAAAATGTACTGTATCTTTTGTATTGGGTCACATAGGGATAAGACTGGGCTCCCCTACTTTTGCTATTTGTCAGGTTGGCCTTGAAATCCATTTATTTGCCAAATAAGCTCCCATCTTCAACAACTCTACGTTTTCTTCGATCATCAACTTTTCTTTGAGTTCTCCAGGAACAAGATGCAATAACATGGGTAGCGTTCGAATCATCCGGTTGTACTTTGGGTGCGCAGTCGCTAACTCATGTAGCAACGCTTCCCCGTCGCTAAAAAAATCACTACGATCTTTGAGATGATTTTTGAGCAGGGCCAACTGTGTTTTACAGAGCTGCTCAGTTATCTTTAGAGCGCTGCGGTAAGTAATTGGACCCAATTTCATAGCCTTGGACAAGGCTCTATTTTTGAATGGGGCTGAGATAATAGATTGACTGGATTTCAAGCTGTGGGGAACAAGTGGGGGTTTTCGCACTCTGTTTCGCTTGCAGAAATTCTCCGTGCTTTTTTCACTAGTGCGATGCAGTGCTGATTCATGTTCCTTTTTAAAGCAAACAGCCCGCTTAGCCTGGCACCCGGGGATTGTTGTTTCTAGGTTATTATGCTTCGAGAAGTCGCTGGCTTCCAGGGAAACGTCGGGACTGCCGACACCATTTGTCTCTTCGGGCAATTCACGTGGAGTTCGGAAACCACAGGATGTTAAGGGTAATTCAGTTGGCGCGGCAGAAGGCAGAATCATAGAATGGTATTCATTCTCTTTATTCTTTGGTTGAACAGGATTCATGATATGAGACTTGCTCGCAGCTGTAAAAGGTCGCTTCCTTAAATGGGCTTCCATTGAATGGTTTGGAAGGAAAGTACTAAAGACAAAGAACACAAGCTACTCTGCCATTTATAGGTTCTTGGAACGGAGTTGGGATTTGGGGCATTACAGATACTAAGTCGAAAGAAAACCGGACTCCACAAGAAAGTAATCCCGATTGAGGATTCCAGGTAAGATCTATGTCAAATGAGGACCAAAGTTGAGAACAATACGATGGTACCTCACCTTTCGTCTGGGTAATATGGTAATATATGATGGTCGTTTGTCAGTTTGCAAGCGGTTCAGCAGGAAATGAACGTTGTGCTCACCGCCGATCGTCCTTCGATATTTCTTGTTTAATCATATAAAACTAATTTGAAGGGATCAATTATCAGCCCTACCTGTCGTGTGGCTCCATCACATTGTGTAATATTGAGGCACCAGAGACCACTTCAAGTTCAACCAGACAGGATTTGTTGATGGAAGCACACTCTGAGGGGATTTTTATATGAAACAATGTAATATATAGAAAAAGATATAAAGCAACGAGCACAATCGCCAGTTTATTACAGCCGCAAAGGAAAAAGATGATTCACTACATTCATGTAAAAGGTAGACAGCATGGAGCTACCGCGGACACTGCATATCACCAAATCCAGCTTCTGGAGGAGACCATGAAGCGGGTATTTTCATTATCATCAAGTTCGCAGACGGCCCCATCCATCCTGGCTTCGGAAGGAACTTGTTTATGTATGCGCAGGAAGCAAAGGGATCAACCAATTAAACGAGGTGTGGTACAACACATGGGTATTTCTTATCAATTTGAAGATTGAAGGAGATATGAACGAGAGTTTCATACAAGCTCTTCTACAGTTACACATGAGGGTAGAGACGATCGAATGTACAGGCAGGGGACCCAATGAAACTACAAAGCGCATGCGCCATTCGAGAGACCGTATCCCATGGTCAGCTGATGGGATAGCGGAAATGAGAGATACGGAACACTGCCGATACTTTGGCAAAAAATTTGGAGTAGGAAGGGACATCTGATACCCAAGGAAATCTGATACCGAACACAAGAAAGGTGGTAGGAGAGCTGTAACTGTAGCATGAGTTGGCTTTGTAATACATGAGGGCATTTCATACAGGGAGGATCGAAATCAGTTTCACCACTTGCACACATAGATTCTTTCTAGAACCTTGTCCTGAAACACGGCATACCCATTACGGTTACTCTACCCCTGAACATCTTTCTTGGCAGTATTCCCGTACGGGTGTATATAACAACATAAAAATAGCTTCTGTATTAGACTCGTAAGGTCTTTAGGGGTTCTGGAACGTTGATTCAGCAAACCGGCCAAAAAGACAGACGCCTGCTCGTTTGGAGACATGGCAAGAATTCGAATGCCCTTTCTGCCAACCACTTGCCCTCTGGAGTGGCTACTGTGGACGAGCGACTTCTTTAGAGACATACTAGTGGATATTTTTTTCTGGTAGGACCAACACACTGCTCGATGTGGGTGGCCTCCTAAGCCGAGTCACCTGATGGCGTGCCCCTCCTTCAGCTGAGAGCCAGATGAGAACTCGTAATGAACCACAAATAAGCACGATTTTACGGTCATGGCGTCGAGTCACTCTGGTGTCAAATATGCGTCCACAATTAACTCTGACGTCAACTACGGAGCCCAAGTGGGATTCAATTATGGCACGGCAAACTTCCATCTGCCCCCGGGTAAGTCAGGAACAGAACCGAACAAGGTCAGGATCGACTAACCTCTGCTTCCCACCCTAGAGCGACCGGAAACTCCGCCGAGTCCTTTGACGACTGTCCCATTCCCGCGCGATCCAGACTTTGTCAGTCGCGACACACTGCTCAAACAGATTCGCGATAAAAGCTTGGTCCTAGGGTCGAGAATTGCGCTTGTTGGCCTTGGCGGTGTCGGGTTAGTGTAGAGCAAGCAGGACGCGGTCTTGCTAATAACCAAAAGGAAATCACAACTGGTCATCGAATACTCCTACCAGGTCCGATCCCAAGCACCGGCAACATGGGTTCTCTGGGTCCATGCGAGCAACGCAACCCGATTCGAGCAAAGTCTCCGAGACATAGCAGACCAGGTTAAAATCCCAGGGCGCAAGGATCCGCAAGCCAATATATTTAATCTAGTCAAAAACTGGCTCCAGGATGAGAAGAGAGGACGATGGGTTCTTATCCTTGATAATGTCGATGATTATGAGTTCCTTCGCAAGTTACCGGTGACTGGCCAGGGAGGCCCGGAGAACCGTGTAACAAACATCTCCACAAAGCCACTTTTGGAATACCTCCCCAGAAGCTCGAATGGATTTATGATTATCACGAGTCGCACTCGAGAGGTTGCATTGAAACTAGTCGATTATAAGGAACTTATTGAAGTCAAACCGATGGAAAGGTCCGAGGCGCTGGAGCTTCTCGAAAGAAAGCTTGAACAACCAGGGGAAAGTGAAGACAGTCGACATTTAGTGGAAGAGCTCGAGCTTATGCCACTAGCGATCGTACAGGCAGCAAGCTATATCAGGAACCGGGCGCCTCGCTGTTCGGTGTCCCAGTATCTAAGAGACTTCCAAAAGAGTGACCGCGAAGCAATAAAGCTTCTGAAGACCGAGGCGGGTCACACCTTCCGGGATTGGGAGGCAAAGAACTCGATTTTGGTGACGTGGCAAATATCATTCGATCATATTCGCCAAAGAAAACCTTCGGCTGCGGGTTTGCTTTCTCTCATGAGCTTTTTCGATCGACAAGGGATCCCGGAGGAACTTCTCCGACTTCAACCTGAAAATAACCATATGTCAAGGTCAGAGCTTGTAGATCATTCTAGTGATGACGAGGAGGTGTCTGAGTCCGACACATTGGACGATTTTGAGGATGATATTACAACACTGAGGGATTTTTCATTCGTCTCTGTTAGCAAAAACGGTTTATTCTTCACGATGCATAGGTTAGTCCAACTGACTACATGCATGTGGTTGAAGAGTCATGGTCAAACAGAGCAATGGAGGGAGATATTTATCAGTAAACTCTACTACAAGTTTCCGACTGGTGAATATGAAAATTGGGAAACATGCCGACAGCTCTTTCCTCATGTTAAAGCAGCGATGTCGCAGCGGCCAGAATCACAGGGATCTCTACGGGAGTGGGCCACACTGCTTTATAAAGGTGCTTGGTATGCGTCGCAGAGCGGTATCCTCGCGGACGCAAGGAACATGGCATTAAAATCAAAAAAGGAGAGAGTAAGGCTTTTAGGTGAAGAACATGAAGATGCCCTCGATAGCACTGCGATATTAGCGAGAGCATGGTCACTTGAAGGGCGCTGGGAAAAGGCCGAGAGACTCGAGGTGCAGGTGATGGAGATTCGCAAGACGAATTTAGGGGAAGACCATCCCTCCACGCTAACCAGTACGGCCAGCCTGGCGTTGACCTTTTGGCATCAAGGCCGCTGGGAGGAAGCCGAGCAACTCCAGGTGCAGTTGATGAAGACGAGCAAGAGCAAGCTCGGCGACGACCATTCCGACACACTGGCCAATACATCCAATTTGGCGTTGACATACTGTAGCCAGGGCCGGTGGGGGGAGGCTGAGCAGCTACAGGTGCATGTAATGCAGACTCGCAAGACCAAGCTCGGCGAGGAGCATCCCGACACGCTGACCAGTATGGCCAACCTGGCATCGACATATAGGAACCAAGGCCGGTGGAAGGAAGCCGAGCAACTCGAGGCTCAGGTGATGAACACCAGTAAGACGAAGCTCGGCGAAGACCATCCGGACACACTGCTCAGTATGACCAACTTGGCGTTGAGGTACTGTAACCAAGGCCGGTGGGGGGAGGCTGAGCAGCTCCAGGTGCAGGTGATGGAGACGAGCAAGACGAAGCTCGGCGACGACCATCCCGACACACTGCTCAGTATGGCCAACCTGGCGTTGACGTACTATAACCAAGGCCGGACGGAGGACGCCGAGCAGCTCGAGGTGCAGGTCATGAAGACTCGCAAGACGAAGCTCGGCGACGACCATCCCGACACGCTGACCAGTATAACCAACCTGGCGTTGACCTTTTGGCATCAAGGCCGCTGGGAGGAAGCCGAGCAACTCCAGGCGCAGGTGATGAAGACGTGCAAGAGCAAGCTCGGCATCGAACATCCCGACACACTGGCCAGTATATCCAATTTGGCGTTGACATACTGTAGCCAGAGTCGGTGGGGGGAGGCCGAGGAGCTGCAAATGCAGGTGATGGAGACGAGCACGACGAAACTCGGCGACGACCATCCCTCCACGCTGAAGTCTATGGCCAATCTGGCATCAACATTCTGTAAACAAGGCCGGTGGGAGGAGGCCGAGCAGCTACAGGTGCAGGTGATGGAGACTCGCAAGACGAAGCTCGGCGATGACCATCCCGACACGCTGAGGACTATGGCCAACTTGGCGTTTACGTACTATGAACAAGGCCGGATGGAGGAGGCCGAGCAGCTCCAGGTGCATGTAATGCAGACCCGCAAGACCAAGCTCGGCGAGGACCATCCTGACACGCTGAACAGTATGGCAAATCTCGCTTTTACCTGGAAACATTCAGGTCAGGAAGCGGAAGCCATCAATTTACTAAGATACTGCATAGCCAAGCAGAAACAAACATTGGGGCTAAACCATCGGCTAACTTTAGCCAATTCTACAGCATTAGTGGAATGGTTAATGGAAAACCTAATACTTAGATAACTTTGAAACCTCAATATCGCATGTTTACACTGCAATTTCTACTTTATATATACTTCCCAAATTGACCTTTCCCCTCGTAGATTGACTTCGTGGGCACCTTCTTTGGAAAATCGCTGTCAGGAGATTGAGGACAAGCGGAGTCCTCAACGAGCTAACCCAGTATCCTTGAAAGAAGTATTACAAGTGATGTATAGAACATCTTTTCACGTGACTCCATGTTTCAATACGATTCAGTACTTCAAACCGAGTCAAATCAAAATCGGACTAGCGTGTTTCACACTAAGGATTCGTGAAAGAATCTCTGTGTGCAAGTGGTGAATCTGCTTTCGATCCTCCCTGTATCATCATGTTTTTCGAAGGGTTTTGGGCTGGACAACTGTCCTGAGCACCCGGAAAATGCCGGCAATTGTATAGTGAGCCTATACTGTTCATTCTGTTCTCTGTCCTTTTCTCCATGAATAAGAGCTGCAGTCCTGGTCACTTCTTCTAGGGTCAAGGGCATGAAAAATGGGCTTATCAAATAGACATGTATTTAACCATAGATCCCTTCGTCTAATTAGATGTACTTTGCAGATAACAACACGCCCGGGCAAGTCTTTATTTTCTCCGGGTCATCGGGCCAATTGAAAGTGTATCACTTGGGCTGTGATACTGTATCAATTTCCGAAAAGCGCGGTACTTTGAGAACTGCAACCGCAGGCTGAATAATGTCTTCTATAAATTTTTGTCATATCTTTTTGTCGCCACCTTTTGTTTCCTTGCTGCTATCTAGATGGCAAACTAAGAGAAGCCAAAACTCCCTTCAATTTCACTGATAATTCGCCCATCCTTGAATCATGAATAGGCAGAAAATCGTGATATTTCCAAAATTTCCGGCGCATCTGGGCATATGGCAGCAGCATTGTCTGCTTTTTGCTGGGTAATTAAACCTGTGTCTCTACAGGACCTACCCATTCGCCGAAAGCAAAACCGATGTAAATAAAAAATGATTGCAAAGAGCAAAGTAGCACCGGAAATGCTTCCCAAAACTAAACCCACACGATGGCTCGACAAGGCCCGAGATGCGCGAGAATTGTCCATCGTCAATTTTTCTACTGTAGTCTTCGTGGCGGTCGTCGGCACTGTGTTGGTTGAATCCATAACCTGGCTTTTGGTGATCAGATTGGGCATGCTAAAGTCTAAGTCGTCGGATTCGGGCGCGTTTTGTGTTGTTTGTATAGGCTGAAAATAACGAGAATATTCAACCAACTGCGAAGGAGCTCCCAAATTCCCGGTCACATAACTACCGGTTTTCTTTGGTTTCGACCGAGACATAGCATCTAGAGCACCCGAAAAAGTATCTTCATCGGAGGAGTAATTCACCGAAGTTTGGTCAGAAAGGCTTTGAAATTCTCTTATTGAAGATGAAGCATTCATCGAAGTAGTTCCAGGCGGCGAGTACGAAGTGGCTTGGCCTGTGGGAACATAAACGACAGATTCAGAGCTTTCTGTGGGATCATGATCAGAATCAACTGAGAGCCCTGTATATTGTGATAAACTTGGGCCACCGTTGGTTATTTTCGCGATGTCAGCTTCAGCTAAACTGTTGAAAGGCAGTGAGGTGCGATTGCTCTGTGAATCTTGAATTACTAATCCGCCGCTCCCTAGCTCATCGTCAACCTTGAAATATCCGGTTATACCGTTGGTCGTTTCTCCGGTAGTGGTGCGAGGCTCTGACCATGTGAGGGTAAAGGTGTCCGTCGCTGTCTCCGATGAACGTGTTTGAAGTGGCGAGGTCCAACTCTGGGCTATTGGGTTTGAACCTAGCATAGTCCATTGTAGAATGCTTGTAGCTTTGGGAGGGTGAATTTCGGACGTAGCGACTGTATTAGACCATGTTCGCAGTGATTGACTATAGCAAATATTTCAGCAACCAAGCTGTTTTTCAAAATCGGCCAAACAGACCTTGGTAGGCCAGCGCTTTTGGTATAGGGTGCCGGGGCTCCATATCCAACATCGCTTTCAGACATTTCCTGGATATATTTATGCTGACGATTTTGGACATTCTAAGTCAAATTGTTATAGTCGGAAATCCAGGACATGTCGTTGCTAGGAGGCCAACGCAAATTAAATAAGGCTATTGTGGTCTCCGCGCGTTTCGTATGGGTCGATAAATAGCTCCGTCCGAGTTTTAGGGTTCCATTGCCATTTGTTCAAATTTTGAACCCGTTTCTGCCATTTAAGCAATCTACGTAATTTATTGATGCCCGAAGGAGGGCGCCGGCGGTTGGTCAATGAAAGCCATAGGTACATATCAACAATGCTTAATAAAGTCTCACATAGCGGGCGACGTGACACCCCTCAAATTACACCTTTCACCAACCAAGTCGTCGTTCAACCTTCGCCCTCATTATTTCCATCCCATGCGGATCGTCCCATTGAAAAGTCACACCATGTTCTTTGCCCAAGACAAAAAGTGTAACCACTGAAGCCTTTGATATTAATGCCAATTTATCAACGCAAATCGACCATCAACTACACTTGGCTTTACATGCAGCGCCAATTATTATGGCGACTAGTTACTTGATTCTGGCTACAACTAATAGGAAACTCCACTGGCCTTTGACCACAGTACCTCTCCCAAGCGTCGGCTAAAACCCACTAGTGCTCAAAGCTCTCCTCATCTGGCGCCTTCGATCTATCTACTATTACAGTGCAAACTTTTCTTCATGTCACTTAAAGCATGCTGAAAACTAAACGGATAGTCCTTTTCCAAGTTTTCACATAAGCTCCGAAATATACATAAGTGGGTCTGTTCTACTATGGCTTCTCGATATGTATGTTTATTCAAGCCCTATTTCTGACCGGTTGCTTCTCCTTATAGTTGATGCCCTCAAACCATGCTGCACCATACCATTGTCTGGGCATCGGCATAAAATAAAAAGAGAAAATCTGGCTTAATTAAGGGTATTGATTTGTGAAGGGTTATAGTTAACCTTTCTGTTTCAGTACTAGAAAATATTAGTTGAACTCGTTAGAGGCATTTCTACAGAAGTAGCAATTCTCGTCGAATAATGAGGACCACAAATTGTAGGACTTCTGGTGAAGCCTCTGATATCGTAGTACATATGCCAGCAATTACTGCAATGGATATTTTATCTTATCAGCTATAAGTATAGCTAGCTTCAGTTGAAATGTCAATTTAGAGATGTGGATGCGCCTTCTTTTCTCACACTGTTAAACTAAGCGCTCATGCTGCCTTTTCTGAGATCAGTCACTTGGTTTACCCTCATACTCTTTTTCCCTTTGGTTAGTGGCTTTCGTTAAGCTACTGGGCCTAATAAATAACCCAACTCTAGGCACTCGGCCTTGCAATTCGCTCTGCTGAGTATATAAGTAGCGTCAGTTACTCTGAGGACATTGCGAGTCCGGACGCCGGAGCTAATAGAATTGAAGCCACATTCATTAGGCGCTTCTCATATCCTGTCTCAGAGATGGGAGCTCTCCGGTGCAAGCCATGGTACGTCACATCACGGTCGTTTTTTGAATCGTCTTATCAAAGTTATCAGCGCTTGCCATCCACCAATCTAATAGATACCACACTCAACATCGACGGCGCCTCAGATCACATTAGCTTCAAGTCATCTGGTACACTGGCTACCAGCAGTCTGACTCTTTTGCAGAAGCCGGTAGCGCTTCACATGCTTTAGATCGTGGGAATATTTAGAAAGCTTGTTCGGTTCCAGTTGTTTAGCTTTAAGTTGTTTCGGGATGTAAAAAGATATATCTGGTGAAGGCCAGTGTAGTAGCTTGATAGCGAGGAAGCATTGATGAACCTACCGGAATGATCGACGGGACAAATTTTGGTGGACGGTGGTAATTATAGGTACATGATCAGACCGATGATGATTTCGTTTACCCGACCGCTCGCCAGTTGGATCCTAAACCATTACCCACTAGGCTGAGTGCGGATTCGTATTTTAGTCTAGTTGGGGAACCAACTACGCCAACGACATGCAAGTTACAACAACTATATATATCCCTGTACGTACATGTAGAGTGTTCCACTTCCAAATAATCCTTACGCTTACTGTAGTTCCAAAGGGCCACAGTACCGTAGTAGAATTAATCTATCTAGTCTACTACAGCAACTCTGTCATCAAATGGTGATTTGTACTGTGCCCGAAGGTACAGTATTTGTATGTGTGTAATTCATTTACGCTGACCTCTCGTCGAGACCGAAGGTACAGTACTGTACGGCATTTGGCTATATTTACATCTACACCGGCGAGCAGACCACGCCGCAGATTTACGTTATTTGTCCTACGCATGCTATCTGTGTGTTGGGGTTGTACGGAATCCCAACCACCAGCGACGTTGGAAAGATACAGCAAAGCCTCCTCTATGAAAGTGTTCTTAAGTGTAATTACAAGTCCACTCGAAAGTTTCATCACTTTATTGTTTTTGGTTCTTATTAAATCTTGGCTAAGACTCATTCCAATCTATATCTGGTCTAGCTCCTGCAAGACTATCGAATTTGAAAAATGCTACAGTACGTCCCGAAACTGGTGCGACCACCTACACTCTACGATTGATTCTCCCACCCTAATGCCAAGACTCATTAGTCTATAACTGGACTAGCCTCGGAATATTAATATTCCTGTTTCAACTCATTCCCGTAATTTACTGTGATAAAAATACGTACCTGTGTCTCGTACTGTATTAGCGAATTCCAAGGGAACTAGAATTTTCCATAGAAATGCAAACAAGTCAAACTGCAGAGCTTGAAAGTACCTCGAGAATCTGGCGAGGCGTCATTTTCCTTTGACACACTATGTCCAAGTGCCAGTCTAGACGCTTACTCGGTACCAGACATTGTAAAGAGCGACTTGCATTATCTTGCTCACCTACAGACTACTCATGAACCTGCTTATCAAATTACTCAGCCTGTCAGCCACAGCTCTCTTTACTTCACGCTCCCTGACACTCCCTCGGTAGAAGCTAACACAACCATGTTACTAGACTCCTCAGTGGCATCTTGTGCCTTTGGGGATGACTTCGGTCGCTGTTTAAAAGAAGGTGGCGGATGGTAATTAGTGGGCTGGATGGAGGCAGCAAAGGTCTATTGACTTTTCTTTTATCTGGGTGTTGAGCACTTATCCCTCTCGACTCTAGCATTTCAGATGTCATGAGAGTATCCCATCCCCTACAGTACGTCTGTAGTACGTTTATAGTGCGTCCCGAAATTGACGTCAGTACCTATGCTCTTTGACTGCTCCTCCAACCCTGATGCCAATATACACTATACTATATTTGGCAAAGCCCCGGATTGTTACCGATCCTTAAGTTACTATTATGTTGCTTTCTGTTTGGTGATACATAGCCAAATGTCTCGTTACTGTACTGAGCTAACAGACGTGGGGTGGGCATTGGAAAATCATATATAATGTAGTTAAAAGGATGTAGAATTTATATCTCAAATTCAATACATCAAGAATGAAACAAAGAAGACAAAAAGGCATCCCTTTGAGTGCTTGTGATTTCCCGGAGGAAAAAAAGAGGGGGGGAGGGGGAGGGGGAGGGAATAACAGATGTAAATGACAAAGTGTACTTGTCTAGAAATGACAAGCGCGGTAGTCGAGGTGACTTCAAGAATAACTCAAGCCACGATCGGACGATCGTCATCACAGAGCTTAAAGAAGAATGACTGCTAAAAGATGGATGCCCAACACGAGATCTAGATCAATTCCTTAACAAAGGAGGGGTGGAGGTGGTTGGGGGGGACCATTACAAAAGAACCAAATGGGCGCCGAACAATGTCGGTAAAACAATCATCAGGCCAAAGGTAGCGGGGATGCTCAATTGCAGGGGCTTGAGGCCAGCAGCAGCACCTTCAGAGCTGGTTGCGGAGGCAGCGCTACCGCCCCTGGTGGCAGCGGCGACCTCGCCAGAGCCCTGCGTTGCAGTGCCGGATGACTTTGTGCCAGCGTTCTGAGAGCCCTTGCCGCTGAAGCCTACACCCTTTCCAGCACCCTGAGTAAAGTATTTCTTCGCAGGTAATGGCATGGCAGGGAGAGCGTCATCGGGGACATTCCAGTTGGGCTTCTGCATCTTGGGGCAGCCGGATGCACCTCCAGTGGAATTGTACCCGCCGTCGCCCTTGGGGTTGTCAGTCTTATCAAAGGCAGACTTGAGAGCATCGTAGTCCTTCAGATGTGTAACATCATCACCGTCGATCTTGACCAGGCCCCACTTGTTGCCTTCCTCAGAGTACTCGTAGACGATACCGCCGGAGTAGACGGCGGTCATATCGGTAGAGTAGAGGGCGCTGACCTCCTCGAATTTACGGGTATTGGTGTTGCAGCCGTACTCGGAGATGAAAAGAGGAATGCCGTAGCCGGTGAAGTTTTTGACCTTCTGATCCCAGCCTGAAGTAGTGAAAGAGGAAGGGTCACACCAGGAGTAGTCGTTGAAGGCGAAAAAGTCGGATCGCTCATCATCAGTGCCGCAGTTCATGTACTCAGCCATCTCCAGACGGTTGGTATCGACATCGGTGGCAGAATAGCCAACGGGGACGTGACGGAGGTTGCGAGAACGGAGGTAAGTCCGTAGGTCACGGGTGACGGCCTTTACGTACGGAGCAGCCTCGGAGGTGGGACCGTCGTTGATGACCTCGTTACCCGAGAAAAAGGCCAAGGTGTTGTCGTACTTAGCAAACATTTCCACGGTGGCGAAGATGTACTGAAGGTAGACGTCGTTGTAGGAGACTTCGGGATCGGCACGGTTGATTGAGTACTTAGGGGTGTTGACGTCAAGGACTAGGTAGATTCCAGCCTCAGCTAGGGCTTTCATGCACTCGTCGTGATCTCTAGAGTTATCGACGTGGTAGACACGAATGGTGTTCAACCCCAGTTCCTTGAAAGTCTTGATATCCCGCTTGCAGCTGTCGGCGTCAGCGATAGAATCATGAAGCTTGGAGGAACCACCAGGCTGATAGTCGACACCACGGATGTAAAAGCGCTCATCGCCCTTGAAGAAGGCATTGCCCTTGACAGTGATGGGAACAATACTGCTGTCGCGGTCCTTGATGTTTGTAGCAGCACTGAAGACGGTGGAAGCACCCAGAAGGATGGCCATGGCCACGGAGGCTACGGAAACCTTCATAATGCCGTTGTTTGTGGAGTAAAATGACGAAATCAATGAAAAGAGTGACGGAAAACTGATGATATGAACGAGAGTCGGCAGATGCGCTGAATGGGCTATTGAAAGAATGAATGAAGGAAAAAATAGGGTGGAAGGGATGAAGGGTTATATGGAGAGCCAGGATCGGTCCAATTGGAGACGTCTGTGCTACAGCAATGGACGATTGGGGACGCCCACTGGGCTGTGCTATGCCAAGTACATTGGTCCCGTAAAGTGGATTGCTTTTCCATGAAAAGGAATGATCACTATGCTTCTCTTGGCCATTCTTCGTGATTTTGAATGTGTGTGCCTTTGGGCGATCTATTCGGCCCCCATTATAGATCGCTTTGAGTAGTGACACGTACAGTCTGCACATCATAAGTAGATCCAAGTAGATTGCTGACTTCACATCAGCAACAAAACCCTAGAGTGGAAGTATTAGCTTGCTAATGATGTACCCCTATCTAGACATGAATGTGTCGGGCGAACGCGCCTGAGGGTCTTCTAGGTTTACAGGGATCCCGCAGGAGAAAGGCCACTTGAATGGTTCGATCCTGGAATTGTACGCTTCATTGGCTGTTTTACCATGTTTCTTAACCGCAAACCCCCACTTATCCCACTTATGGACACTAACGGGAGCATAAAAGGGTCTTCTATACTTAGCCGGCCCTCGCTAATAAATGTTTCTATCTTTAGTCGGCTTAAGAAATCTCGCACAAAAATAAAAATATGCTTAACACAATTTTGCTTCTTTTAAACAAGAAACATTCCAAATGACTGACGTGCGGACTGCCATGAAGAGTAAGTATTCTGCACATCTTCTATTCGACAATTTCCAACAAACTTCGGTCACGAGATTTACCCGAGCTTGTACCAATCCCACGACCAATGACATCTTGGTATCAACCCCGCCGAGGTTGGCGGCTGTTGAGAAGGCATATTCTGGCCAATATCTGATCTGAAGCACCTGCGAATGTATAAGCCTCTTCAGAGAATTCTCAATGATTGGAAAAATATGTTTCTAGTGTATCCTCGTTCAATATCAGGCAAGCTGTGGATACTGTGTTAGCAACGTTTAGATTACTTTGTACATGAAACCTGTCACGCTCGAGTGGTGTTCGGACTTTGCCGTAGTATTGCTTGATGAAATGGTCTGAAATTCCATATAATGATATGCAGATCCTCCTAAGATACATGCGAATGAAGACTGATCGGGGATCAGAGAAAATAGGACTGGATCCGTCGCAGGGAGCATGGGCACAATCAAGTCCTCTTTGCAAGGCTCTCCAGATGTTCTGTTTCCCCTTTGTTCACTTCAGCCGCCTTATGCAACTCCGTCGCAGCTATCATGGCAGCATCATCGCCGTCGAAAATGACCGCAATCTCCTCGAGAGAGTACCCCCGGGTCTCGGGATAAGTGAGGTAGATAGTCCCCAGGATTACCACCAGCAGACAAATATACAAGATGTAATATTTCCATGCAATAGAGCCCAGCGCGATCGGGTTGATGAACTGATTGAAGAGCAATGCCAGGTACGTGCTGACGGAAGTCAATGCCACGCCTTTGGTGCGCAGTGCGTACGGCCAGATTTCCGCGGGGTACGCCATGACCAAGGGGGTGAAGGCGATATCGTAGCCACCGTAGTAGAGAAAGAGGAAGGGGATCACTGCAGTTCCCACACTACTCATATGGTTGTTGGCAAAGCTCCCCGAAAGACCTGTGATGATGATATAGCTGACAAGCATAATGCAGGTGGACAGCAGAAAGAGTGTCCGGCGTCCAGCGGAGTCGACTAGCATAGAGCCCACCACCGCCATGATAAGGTTCCATACCTGCAGGAACCCATTGATGAGTGTTTGTTTCGTGACCGAAGTGATACCAATTGTTTTGAGAATCAGAGTGAGATAGTATGAGACGACACCGCTGGTGAACGGAAAGTATTAGCGGGACGGACCTTTAAACAGCGAGGGAGGTGCTTAGGTTCAATTTGTCACTTACATTCCATTCCATTGAGCAAAAGTGCCTAGGGTGATACTGATGAAGAGTCGGTGCCGATTACCCTTGGTCCGGAGCATATCGAGCCAGGTAGTGGAATTGCTGCTTTCTCGCTCCATGATGATTGATCTGGTGATTTCATCCATTTGAAAGGCAACGAGTGGCGCGGCCTCATCCCCACCTGCATGATATTTGGTGAGAAACCATCGGGCCTCTTCATGCCGATCCTTACTAATCAGCCAGCGAGGGGACTCGGGGCACAGGGCCACCACTGGCAGTGCCACCAAGGGAAATACAATCTGACATAAGGAGGGGATTTTCCACGCCCACATGGAATCTATGTTCCGGCAGCCAAACACCAACCACGCGGACAGCGTGGAGCCCATGTAGTACTGGCAATGGTACATCGCGGTGAGTTTGGAGCGGTGGGTTGGATAGGCGATTTCGGCGAGTAGAATGATGGCGCCTCCAAACCAGGCGCCCGCGTATCCGATGAAGAAACGGGATGCAATGAACATCGCTGGATTATGCGCGCCCACTTGAATGCCGACGCCGAGAAAGAGAAATAAATATCCCACGAATATACATGGCTTGCGTCCAAACTTGTTGGCCGCCCAGGCTTGGATGGGTAACCCCAGCATGGACCCCAAGGACTGGATAGCGCTGATAAAGCCCAGCCAGGCGCCCGAGGGACTGCCCATAAAGCTGTCCCACGGGGACAAAGATTGCAAGCCAGTCATCAGCGAGCTATCGTAGCCCACCGTACTGGAAAATAGCAGCAGACTGACGATGAAGCCATTCAACTTGATCAGATGCGGTATTTGCCACCATTGTTTTTGATCTTGCGGGAGGACCTGGCGGTTGTGTCAGTTCAAGGTTCCACGTGTAGAGGGATTGGAGGGCACCCACCGAGAGGAGGTCGGCTCCCACAACATTCTGCAGGGAAGTTTTGGTCATCGTGAGCGATCTGGGTCGACACTGTGGTCGGCGCTTCTTTCAACACAGATGAAATTGGTTGAACAACCATCAACCCCTCGGTACCAACGAGGTTTTGTATTTGATAGACAGCCGGGCCAAGAGACCGGGGTGGCGACTAGCTGCATGGATAAACTCCAGGTTCTCTGACTTGAAGCGAGCTGGCCTGTGGGGTAATCCCGCAAAGTTCAATCATCCATGGCTGGAGAGGGGAGGTCCGCACGGGGAGTGTCGGGGATACAGAAAACACTAGTTAACCACTACTTCCTAACTCATACACGCGCATTGAGTCTGATCTGTGACTTCAATTCCCCACATTATTATTTTTTTTTTCTTGGAGAACTTTGATCTTGGAGGCGTCAACAGAACTCCTGAGAATAGCCTGCCATCTGCACATGATTCGTTGCGTGGAGATTCCAGACAGTTCCTTGCTGGTATAAAAATCGATCCTACTTCGCTACGGCAAATGATTTACCGAGGTTCCAGAAATTCTAACAATAGCTTATTATTTCGTTTATACACATAGCAAGTCACGTAGAACACTTAAAGGCAAAATAGTAAAGTGAAAACAATATTCTTAAGCCTCCTGGGCAACACCTCGCGCCCGGATGCTGTCCATCAGCGCCAACACCCGGTGCGTCTCATCCCACGGCATGGTCGTATTTTCTACCCGTCCAGCAGAAATATCGTGCGCCACAGCGTCGACTTCGTAGAAAAATCCTTTGCCCACCCTGAGGGGCGCATCGTAAACCTGGCGATCTGCAGCGGCCTTGCTGGGAATGACCGTAAACCGGCGCGGCACAGAGGTGGCGACCCCCTCGATGAGAATGGTGCCCTGCGATCTCTCGATCCGGGCAAACACCTGGTCTGACTTGGTCTTCATGGTCGATGTTAAAATGCCCTGGCGACCGTTCTGCGGGTAACGCAGCACAATCGAGGTCGCAACATCAATGCCCTGTCTGATACTCTGCGCCGAAAAGACCTGGGGAGTCAACGCCGTGCCGGCAATACCCTTCTCCAGTCCTAACAATCCCCAGGTTAGGGAATAAACCCCGATGTCGAGCAGAGTCCCCGCGCCCAAGGCCGGATCTTTCAGACGTGAGGTAGCAGGCAAGCTGTCCAGGTCCATTACCAAACCAAAGTCACAGAAGACCCGATGCACATCCCTGATCACCTTTTCCGGATGGATTAATTGTAGGAGTTGCACTGTCAGTGGCATAAAACGGGTCCACATCCCTGTATGAAAGAACCTCGCATAGGACATGTTTTCCTTGGCTTATTGCCTTCAGGCATGCGTCTTTGTGGAAGGCGTGTTGGATCCTGATGTAGACGATATCAACTTCCGAGTCTGCGTAGACCGCATCATAGCTGCCATAAATCGATGGAGTAGCGTCGCCCCCATACTTTTGGACAAACGCCCTACCCTGCTCCTCTGACGATGATCCGATCGCTTGGATGATATGCGTTGCGGTGGCCTCTGCCCGTGGAACAACCATGTCGGCCACAAACCAGGACGATATGAGGCCGGTCCCTATACCAAGTTAGAAACCTACTTGGAGTTTTAGAAAGCCGGGAATGTACCTATGATACCCCATCGGAGGCTAGGTCGTTGCATTTCACACGGCATGGCGAAACAGGAAACAATTCAATGAGGTGAGAGAAGATAATTGAAAAAAATGAAAAAGGGCAATAGAATGCAGTTTTTGTGCGTAACGAGATGGGGGAGATCGGAATGCATTTGGAGGTCGAGGGGATCCTATTTGTATGATGGGCAGATGTGGGGGGTTGGGGGACGTTATCAAGGCTGAGTTACATAAATCAACATTTAGTTTTAAAACTAGGCCATAGAGGAAATACCAGCTGAGGGGCCGTTTGGTCAGATGTCATAAGCCTTACATTCCTATCATATTACCAGGGATGCTCACTGGCGTAATTTCCAAAGTCAAGCCGCCGGATCGAAATCCGTCAAGGTGGATGCCATTTCTAGTATGAGCATTACGTGGATGAATCAGAACTGGCAATCTTTTTGCTATATTTGGTATCGTATTACTCATTTTCCATTAGTACTTGCTGATCGCACAAGCATTCTAAAAGTTTCGAGGTCTTTCTTTGCATCCTCGGCCGTTGTTTTGATCGCTTTGCCATCAGCCATCATCGCATACAATTCCTTCATCTCTGTCGTGTATGGATCCTCATATGTCCTGCGGATCACGCTCTCTTTAAACCCACTGTCAATGTTCTCCTGCACATGCATTGTGATGGGCAATCCCTTGATATAAGGCGAGTCGTACTGGACGCGAACGGTCTTGGTCGCGCTATAGACTTCAATGTGCGCGTCGAAGCGCGGCACAGAGTCCAGGCCAGGCTCGTAGGTCACGGAGAAGGTGGGATATTCGAAGATCGCACTTTCTCTCTGTCAGCAACTGACTGATTATCCATTGTCAGATACGGATTCATGCCTACCTCCAAAACGGTGGTTTTAAATACGCGCCGACTACGCCCACCGGCATGCCCAGGGCCTCTCGCATCAATCTCAGATCGTGTGATCCGAGGCCTCCCAAAGCCCTCCAGATGCGAGGAAGGACGTCAGAGCTACTCACGCCCGCCTCCTTCTGCATCCCCTGGGAGACAATCTCCGCTGCGCGCATTCCGATCCTCTGTATATTCGGCAGCGGAGTCGGTGGCCTTTTGGGGGAATGTTCCAGATTGCTCTACGAATGTGGCATTGGGTCCGATGATGTCTAGTATTGCATAATTGCTTAGCTTGTTGACAGTGGCCGCCAAGGAAGAAAGGGTGTTTTACCTACCTCTCACGCGGGCGTAGAGGATCTTGTCCATTCCGCCGATCTCGCGAATTGCGTCTTCAAACGCCGGGGCAAATCGTCTCATGTATCCCACCATGACCCGACCCTCAGACACCTTTTCAGCCTCAATATTTGCATTGGTATCGCGATCATTGAGTGCCATGGGCTTCTAAATGAAGACGTGCTTATTGTGCTTCAGGGCGAGGGTTCCATGCAGGGCGTGGTATTCATCACTGTTGACGACGAAGACAACGTCGACCCGTGGGGATGCGCACAGTTCTTCGGGATCGGTTGTGGTCTCGGGAGCTTCGAGGCCTATAACTTTGGCCTTGCAGTGGGTGAGCGAGGAGCGGGAGATATCACAGAGATAGGTGATTTGGAAGAGGTCGGAGAGGAAATTCAAGGTGGGAATGTGCACCACCTGCGCAATCTCGCCACAGCCGATCAGACCGACATGGACTTTGCGTACCACTGGTGTAGATAGTTTCATTGTTTTTGGTATGTAATTTGGTAGGGATGGAGGACAGCGGAGGGAGAAGACGGGCAGGCAGGTGAGGAAGATGTCGAGGGGAAAGAAGAAAAGCAAGATACTATTCATTTGTTTATTTATTTATATATTTCATTCTTTGATTTGATTTGATTTGATTTGATTTGATTTGATTTGAACTAAATAGATTACATCGTTGGCAATCTATTTACTACCTAACTTATGTAGATAAGTTTAACGTAGTACATAGGTTATTCCATGTAATAGCCCGGATTGGGTTAGATCCACTTGACCGGGAGACCTTCGCGTGCCCCGACACTCCCCGTCCAACTTGCCTCCTGCATCTTACATCGGACCAAACCCAACCACCAGGTACGAAGGTGCGGCAGATAAGAGTGCCCGGTCATTCCAATACGCCCACATGGCGGAATCAGCCGGACGCAGGAAACGACCAGTGCCGCCCAGCACCCAGGCCATGTCCTATCCCAGGAAACGCGCCGTGACGGCCTGCCAACTCTGCCGACGCCAAAAAACCAAATGTGACAATGTTCGCCCCACGTGCGGCTTCTGCGCGAACATCGGCGCGTCATGCGTCTACCAAGCCCCGGAAACGGATTATTCCTCGTGAGTGACTCCACTCCGCCGCCTGGGCCCCACGGGAAGCTCATCAATCTAGATTCGACCCCGCCGCATTGGCCTTGCTCGAAAAGATGGACTACATGATCTCGCTGTTTGGGAAGGGTAAACCGGCTCCGCTAGAAAATTCCAGCGTACCGGTCAGAAGTCACCGCAGTCAGAGTAGCGCCGTCTGGCCGCGGACGGCCAACGCAGAGTCACGAGAAATCCCGTCACGGTATAATATCCCTGGTCAAATCCTGGAATGGCCGATTTCGAAGAGATCCAATTAGACCGAACGGGGGACACCTTATTTGCGGGACAGGCAAAAGCCTCGCAACAGAGGAATCCGGGATCGCAAGGGATTGTCGAGGAACATATTTCTTCCTATGTGGACCGATTTCTAACCAATGTGCACACCAAAAACCCAGTCGTGGATCACACCCTGCTGAGCCAGCATGTCCGCGATATCGCCGAAAATGGCCTGGGCTGGGACGGGCCCACTAGCGTCATCGTAAGTAGATGCATCAAAACCGATCTTACCTTGGCAGATATATATTATATCGCCGCCCGAAAGCGCATCGGCCTACTGGACACGACCTCATTACTGTGTATTCAGACCACCTTCCTGTCAGGGGTCTATGAAATGTATACCCTGCGTCCGTTGGCGGCCTGGCACTCTTTCCATACCGCCTGTAGCAGCATGCAGCTGTATTTCAAAACAAAAGATCCAGGATTAGAAAGCAGTGAAACAGAAAACCTGGAACAGCGGTTGCAGTGGTCATGCTCTTAGTCAGAAATGGGTGCCCAGGGAGGTCTGAATAGCTTCATTTTTAATTATATGGCGTTGTGGTGCTAAATTTTGCAATTTAATGGTAGCATGTTTGGTGGGGTGGCCAGCTCGGGGGGTTGGCCAGCTCGGTAGGGAAATAGGTTATACAGGTACGTACCGAGACTTCAAATATTTCAGGACGGGAATAACGTTTCACTTCGCATGGCGAGCAAATGATCTATGATTCTTTATACTATCTTGCCTGTACGTCGCTAATATGCAAACGCCACACCAAATGACACCCAGCATAAAACATTGGTATAATACATCCCCACTATTCAAACAACGACGAACCACCATACGTCAGAAATATATCATTATCTGACATACCCAGCATATCTGTATAATTGGCTCCTCCAGTCAACATATAAGAGTTGAAGAACGGGTCATTCGCACCCCATGGTAGCGAAAACGGACAGCCAACTGGCAAGGGCGGAGGGCTATCCACGCGACGCTCTGGACAGATTCTTTGCAGCGCAACCCGATCCTTGCCAAAAATTTCTTGAGAAAGACCGAGGAATTTCTGGAAAAGATTGCGCAGTTGCACAAGGGGATAACTGACTCCGTTTTGCGTGAGGCAGTCGGCGATGGCTTTCATTAGGTTGAAATCGCCGATGTCGGATGTTGCGACTACGTTGCAGAATAGGACTAGGTATGCTGTCGCTGGGTAGAGGAGGATTGTCCTGGGAAACAGATGAGATGGGTACTCCTGTAGTTAAGGTTCGTGGGAGTACATATAGGACTTACCAGTTCAAAAAGCTGACTGCGGCTTGTTTCTCTGCTGTGTAGCACATCGATACGAGAGCTGATAGTTCCTGGCGGGCAGATTGGAGATAGCTTTCCGTTGAACGGGGTGGTAGACCTTGGTCTACTTGAAGAAGGTAGAGGATTGCGGTCATTATTGATTGGTAGGCGAATTTGAGGGCTGACATTTCGGTTTCGCAGTCGAGTCCTCTCCAATTCGGGGAAGATGAAGCCATCTATATGGGAGTTTAGTATGTCAGGTTTAATTATGGGACTGGGCTGTTAGGGTTACCCGGTTCATTCGTCCCTGTATGGATTGCATCGTCCGCAGCATGCTCTCTCCCGTCAAAAGGGGGTCCATAGATTGATGGGCAGCTAATGAATGATTTGGATACGACACGACTGTATCCTGCACCCTAGCAAGGTCCACGTAGATCAAGAAGTATTCAGACATTAGGGGGTAATGAGAATATAGATCGTAGAAATCGGATGGCAGCTGGACGTCGAGGAGACACCGGGAGCTTCGAACTTTAAAAGCATAATTCCTATCTAGGGTGTAGCACCATAGGAAACAGAAGAGTTCTTCCTCTGTTGCTTCTCCCTTCATAGCGGTGGTGTGTAGATCTAAGTCGATGCATGTTTTACAAGCGGCTTTAGTAAGATCACCGCTCGTATTCACGTCCCCAGACTCTTGATTAAGAAAAACCTAGATTTAGGTTAGCGTTGAATTGGTATTGGATGAGATAAAGTACAAGCATACACCACAGAGAATTGCCTGAAGAAGGCCAAGCGACGGTGGCGTTAATAGAGAGATCTGCTTTAGTGCAGCTTGGGCTGTTGCTCGATACTCCCTAGCGTTCCTCCTTAGCTCAAGGGCAAGGTCGGCATCGGTTTCAAGGTTGATTGTTGTGGTGAGAAATTTATATGCAGCAGCATTCACACAGACGGTGTATATCATGGTATCAAGATGCGACGATTCGTTGCGAAGAAGTGAGAGTCCCATCTGCTTTAGCTTTGACGTTGATAGATGACGGAAGCAATCGGCGACAAATAGTCCAAATCTGTCGGAATGGATATCTTGTGGATGCTTGATCAGTTAACCGCTCATAGAATAGTAAAGTGTTCAATCTAATATACCTTTCAACATCCAACTAAGGAACTCGACAGAGGGATATTTCGATGAACTCTCGGCATTGGCACTACCATGACTGCCTTGGACAAGGTCTCTCGAGTTGCCAGACAATAGGCCTATGACATTTAAGGCTGATTCGAGAACCCTGCGTCTATCCAAAGTGAGATTTTGGAGATGTCTCAGTTGACGCTTTATAGTTATTTGAGCATCATGAATTGGGTCATATGTGATCCCAGTCACAGGCCACTGGATTTCCTCTGTATCAGCGCAGGAAACTGAGCCAGCGACCGGAGGAATCTCGATCGAACTACCAGTTTCCGATGCAGTGAGTTCTGCTTCAAATACTTCATCGGGTATTGCCTGGAGTCGAGAGACAGGGGTTTTGCTTCTGTGACGGCGAGTTATCGTATGTCGGCGCTTCACAGTTCGACCACGGCTACACGACACTTCTGCATCCTGACAGTTTCCACATGGGTCCTGTCTATCGCACCGGACCTGCAAATATAATCAACATGGTTCAATATGTACTTCAAGTTGATTTGCTTTTTCTTACCTTGCGAGAATGGCACAGATCACACTGCAGATGATATTAATACCGGAGTGTTTGATTGTTGTATGGGAAACATACCACTGGTAGAGTGTGTCCTCTCGTTTCAAGTGAAACACCAGTTGGCATATTGAGACACAACCTTGAATCCAACTGAGCGAACACCGATCTATAGAAATGGAGGCTGAGATGGGAAAGAATAGAGAAGGTGGGACCGGCCCCTAAAAATAAAATTTCATGACCCTGAAAATTTCGTGTCTGCCAAGAATCCGACCAATAGGCAGTGCAAGTCACCTTAAGACGGGTTCTTTCTCAAGCTTCTTGGCATCCAATTATCTCCATAAGTTAAAGTAATCTGAGGCAGTGCCCCAGAGTTAGCTTCGGTAACTTCAGGCGTTTTAGAGACGTCATATCGGCCAATGTTTTACACAGCACTCCATAAGTATTTATGTTACAGCGTCACTGAGTTGAAACAATGAAAGCTGAAAATAGTTCTAGATTCACTGATTTAGGTTGCAAGATTCTATAAGTGATACTTTTCTTGGGTGTTTAACCCGGTACCTCCTTTCTTACGCTCTACTCCGTACCTATTCTCAACCTCAATGGAGAAATGACAGATGCCTTTTCCTTAAAGTTGCCCCATGGGAGTCCGATAAATATCTGGCGTTGCTCTCTTCTCCGCAAATGACAGTCTCCATTTGAAACCCCCAAGAAAGATGTTCACACACATTTATACCGAGCAGCAACACAGTGGAGAGATTCTGCCTCGCGTTTTGAAAGAAGCTAAGAGCGATCTGCGACCAGTCAACCCCCAACTACAAGAATGGAGTCAATTTTAGCTGTTGCTCCTCAGCCCCATCACCACGCTAGTATGCAAATTATGTTTGCGCTCTTCATTAGCACGGGACAAGGAAGAGCCATATGAGCCCCTGATTGACCAAGCCTGTGGCACAGATGCAACCCTCAGTTCACCTCACGGATTTCAATGAATGTATCAATTTACAGCTTTGAGCATGAGGTATTCTCCCAGAGAAAAGCCCTATGTGAACATGCAACCTTTAAATATATGATTTGGCAGAGTTCAAATCTTGTTCCAGATGATCAGCTACAAGGAGTACTCGGCCCCTGCGGAACCCGCGGGGCCACTTCCATTGTGCTAAGCGGGTCGACCCACCTGAGCACCTGCAGACACCGGCGAGTCCGATGCCAATGTCACACAGTATTTGTTCCATGCTTGAGGCTTGGGTGCCGAATGGGTAACTCTTACTGCATACCCAGATCACGACTGAGTTTCTTGAATCTAGTACAGTACACTGATATACTTGCACAATCGAAATACAATGGCTGATTAGCACATTCCTGGTTTTTCTGTTTTTCCAAGGTGTTGCGGCTATTAGTCATACTACATGTCTTCTCATTGGTCAACGCTCCTCTGTATTTGTCAAGTATCAGAGTCGCAAATAACCTCCCGTTTTCCGGATTTTCTCGTCCCTGCCCTTCCATTTCATTGTGGCCACAGCGTGCGCAGCGCGCGTTACCAGTTATCCCGACCCCTCGCTGAAGTTGGATCCCAGGTCACGTAATGTATATAGATCTATGAGTGGCTGCCTGTTAGGCAGACACTCCGCTAGGCAGCAAGGAGATGAGCTGCTGCAACTACAAATAGCTGGATCTCTCAATATAGATCAATTATCACACTTGTACCTTAATCCAGGGTTTCAACTGCCGAAGCGATATACAGGCTACCGCAATTATATATATCCGTGTATGTACGTACGTATACTGTATTTGCACAATTTATCTGACTTTCAATCATGTGTGTTGAGGAATCTGGGTGCGATAAAAAGGGTTGGATTCAGGCGAATAGGCTATTCACACCTTAGCGTCGCCCCCATACAAGTGTCATATTTTCACTGCGACCAAGCGATATTAGTAATATAAATCCGCAGCTCTACAATTGCAAGACTAGATACTGACAGATTATCGTTCGGTCATATCGACAATGAAGTCAAGTGTTTAGAGTTGACAAAGGCACCAAATTTGGGTTGTGACGTGCAGCTAATCCACGATAGACACCCCAGGCACACTTGGAAAAAAAAAACCATCGGTTTTGGACATTTCATATAACCATCCGCAAGCCTTTTTTATGTTGTGCACCGTTGCCGCGTTTTGGATTTCCCCGAGGTCGATTTGACCCGCAAGGCCGACCAGGAGGATGGCGGAACATTGCATAAGGTAGTGCACTATGGACCGCCATGGGCAATACCCATATAGCCAGCGAATATCCACTTTATCGGGGAAAAAGGTTCAGGACACTTCCTGCTACCTGCATGCACAGAGTGGCCATAATCTGACAGTGCTTGCTACATGAGCCCTCAAACGGTACCATGATCACACGACGCAAACACGGCTCTAGGATGATGAGCTTGATGGAGTAGAATTGGAATGCCAAGGGTAGCTTTCTCGCTGAAAGCTTATCCAGTTTCAGTCGCAGAACAAGTCACCAATCTGTTATTTCTCCTCGACCCTCCAAATTGAATGGTAGCATGGGGAGATGGTGCCCTATTTACATTGCCTTCCGCCCGCTTGCAATGACCACTTTCCTCTGATGCACGACGACCCCGGACTCAGTCTCTTTCACGGCTTTTGCGAACAGCTCCACAAACGCATCCTTTGTCATGAGCGCCTGTGGGACATGCTCACGCGATGGGAATAGTCCCGTAAGATCCTCCCATACCATTAGGTAGTCTTCCGTCCACGCTTTGAGATCTGGTGTCCGTTTGTCCACCTGCCGGACCTCAACATCTTCGAACCCATGCCGGGAGAGATGTGTGTCCAAAGAGTCGAGAAAAGTAAAGTCGAAACCACTCGCCTTACCACCTGCGTCCATGATGTGAATAATGGTGTCGCATGCGTCTTTGGAAACGGCAGGACTTGGCGATGTGGCAACGGAGGCGTCGGCCCGTGTTTCTTCCCACTGCAGCCAACCACCCGGCTTTAGCAGCGCCAGCGCAGAATTCAGCAAAGGGGCCGGGTCGCCATTTCTGATGATGCTCACGAAAGCGCGGACATGCACTACGTCAAAAGCGCCCTGTAAATCTGTCGGTAGTGGTTGTTGGAGAACGTCGAGGGTGCTCAATATCATAGACCCGGGCAGAAACGCGTTCGCTGGAAAATTGACAGGATTGACGTCAAAACCCTGAAGCTGAAGGCTCACCTCTGGTTTGGTCGAGGAGAGGGTCCGATCGAGATCAGACAGCCAGACACCATTTCCACAGCCGAGGTCAGCAACCTTGAGTTTAGTAATAGCAGACAGAACGGAGTCCTCGATACGTTTTTCAAGCAGTAAGCCGTCAAGAGTGCTCTGGAACAGCAAGTGCTGCAGATGCAGTCGCGCTGATGTACGAAAATTGCGAGCTGGTGCGATCCAGTAAGTCGAAGGATCGTACTTCATGTCGTCGGTACTTGCTGTTGGAGCCATTGGAACTATCAGGGTCGGGCTGGGTGAGTGTAAGACGAGAAGTGAGAATCAGGATTGCCTGTTCGTGTCTGGCGCCCGGCTCGCAAATAACCTTGGGCGCCAGGGCGGGGCACGCCACCTAAGACAGCGTAAAACAAATGATTTTTACGCAGCGAAGGGAGCCGCTTATTAATGACCGGCAGACACCCTGATTCATATGCCCACATCCCACATCCCACATAAAGCCCCAGATGCCATCAGATGCCATCTTGCGACTCGTGTACCATGGCTGTCTACACGTCCCACAACTGGGTTCTTCGATCGTTGAGACTCACTTCGTGGCCGAGAGACTAGACGTAGAGCAGCTACCAGCCCTATAATAATGCGGCTTTCTTGCCATCATCCAGGCTGTAATCGCTCCTACATAAGGAAGGAACACCTTTTACGTCATCAGAGAGATCACGCCAATCTCCGGCCCTTTGCCTGCCAAGCTTGCCCAGCAACATTCAACCACAGGTCTGTCCATGTTTGCACCCCCTGCTTGCCTTAAAACCATCCAACCATTTTGACTCAGGGACCTTCTCAACCGCCACAAGACGCTCAATCATAGTGGGCCACCCTGCCAAACCAGCAAGTTTCAATCCGAAAATCCTGCTGCGTCAAGCAAAGCCGACAACGACCAATGGAGCGTGGAAGAAAAGGCTGCCTCTGAAGGTATACCAATCCCCCGCCAAAGAAGTGGTATATGGCGTGTAGACCTATCACAAGGCCCAGCCGCGCGGCTGCTCCAAACCCCGAACCGAGCACAGCTCCAGGAGCTTTACTTCAGCGACTTTCACCCACATTGGCCTATTTTGCACCAAGACACGTTCGAGAACTCGCCGCAACCGCCTGCATCTCCTAACCGTCCTGACTGCGGGTTTATGGACGATGAAAGCCTCCGAGGCAAGAGCCCAGGCAGAGTTTTATCATGACGCTTTGCTTAGAGACCTCGACAGAAAACTTGTAGGGTATCCCTTACCCCATAGATCGTCACAGCCTCAGTCTATAGCCACACGTGTTTACTGACTAGATCTCAACCTTCAGTTTACCGCCCTCGAAAACCCTAACCCACCACAAGCGCCGCGGCTCGAGTTCCTTGCTGAGCTCCAGTCGCTGATGATTCCGATAATTCTTACAGTATATAGGGGAGGGGACAACTTCCCGTTACCTACTGCCAACAACAAGCGTCTCTTTCAACTTTTTGAACGGTCTGGTGTATACGATCAGCAGAAAATTGACGCCGGAACACCGCATCCGAAGCCTCTAGACTGTCACTTGGACAGGTGTGTCAAAGGAAAGTGACACCTCGCCGGATTCTCGAGGCACTATCTAGCTCTGGTATTTGCCTTGTTTGCATTGCAATGCTATGGGAGTTCTAGTTTCCTTGGATCGCGAATACAGGTACCAGACAGAGCATTGTATTTGAATTGGGTAAACCAATGTATTGGTACCGATGCGGGACCATTAATATTCCAGAGCTAATCCTAATACAGACTAGCTGATCTTGGCACTGGGGCTAGAGAATTAATTTGAGAGTATAGGTAGTCGCACCAGTTTCGGGACGTACTGTACAGTATGAGAAGTGGACTGCGCACCGGGCGGAACTGCTACAATGTACCAACACCCACCGAGGAAACATGTCCTTCTTCCTGGGAGGGAAATCGCCGTCTGATGATCAGAAGTGGACGCCAAACTTAGAAGCGGTACGGGCCTCAATACGATTCGCCATCGCGACGGGCCGACTCGAGGCCACTTAACCATGCCGACGAACAAAAATCACCCCTTTTTCCGATCTAACTCACCAACCACCTCGTGCTACAGATGGTAGACGCGCTTCAACTGCCGAAGATAGGATGTTGAACACTTGGAGAAGCGCCTTCAAGCCAGCCTACTAACAAAATTACTAACCCCCGAGGATCCGCTGCGACACTGCTTGCTGGAAATGACATATATGGCAAGGTTTTATGCATGGGCTCTAAGGAGATACAGTACTGTATATATTATGACATGTATAGTAGATTAGCGATAGTTGCCCTTTCGGCTTAGCCGCCGGGCGTTAATAAATTGTGTGTGTGTGTGTGTGTGTACAGTATGAGCAGAGGTGTCTTCGACGAACTACATTAGGCCTGCCGCCTCTTACAATAGAGTCTTGAGAAACAATTCAAGAGAACGATATGGTGAAACTAATTTCGATCCGCCCTGTACTACGGTACGGATATTCTTCAATTGGGAAACAGCCCTCAGTTTCCTCACACAACGTTGACGTTGACTATCTTGCTATGTAGTGCGACAAAGTCCTCCACAGCTCATTGCAACGCCCCAAAACAGTGATCGCTGGCAACTTTGGTATAGCTTCATTGGCCGAGTCACAGGGGTCATAGTCGGGTGGAGATCTGTGGACCGAAGGCTGAGGACGTTGGGTCTGTACAAGTTAGACCCCCATACATTCAAGACGGCAAAAAATAAGCAAACTCTTACTATCTCCTGTTTAGTTGGTACGGCGACATCGGGGTGAGAATAGTAGGTATAGATGCGGCCGTTTGGCATTTCCATAACCACCCAGCTTTTGATTGAATACAAGCGCCAGAAATCATTGTGACGGCGTAGCAAGTTTTTGAGGCGCTTGCGCAGCTGCTCCTTTTTTACGCGACCCTCAACCGGTGCCATTTAGAAACTCGATGTTGTCGAACTGCAGCAACAAAGAGTTAGAACGTAAAAGATGAGATGGTGGTTAGTGGAAGGAAGCGGCCCAGGCCTGTTACTTATCTAAATCTGGATTTATATAGATAGAATCATTGCTCCAGACATGTCGGTCTCTCAGTGACAGATTGCTTTCAGAGCCCTCTAAAAATGCCCCGGTCGGTTAGGAATCGGTCAAGTCCGTTCGTTCATATGTAAACGTGCAGTGCTACAAGCGTACCCACCAATCCGAATATCTCGTACTGAAATGATTTGGAATTTAGATTCCTCAACATTTTGCTTCATCTGTCATCAAGCTCTGCGGGAAAGTCTGCATTCAGTCTTGTTGGAACATCAACAAAATTCGCAAACGTAATCTTTAAGTCCTATCAACCGCTTGGTCTTCGGGAGATATAGAGCCGCCTCGGGAGACGCGTTCTGGAAGGTTACTGAGATAAATAAGTCGTTTACTTCCCATTCACCTCATACGCAAATTGTCCTGCATATTCGTCGTTGTCAGTCTTCAAGGCTTTTTCATAATTTGTATCCCAAATTTGTCAATGAGTATGTACCATACGATACATCCTTCCCGACGAGTGGTGGCACGGACTAGGAAAGAACGGTTCATTCACGGTAAGCCCCCAATAACATGACTCGCCACATGAGTATACCGACAGTATTCAAAGGGTTGCCAAAGGATGTTTCCACGTTTCAGGAGCGCTTCCCTAAAAAGGTGCCTTTTCGCGCTCAGCACCTTGTCTTACAGGCAGTACAAAAACTGTTGGAGCAAGTTGGATTCCGCTTTATCCAACGTTGGCTACCCCAGGCGTGTCGGTCAGCCCAGTGGGTTTGTGCAGAGTCAATGGAGCTGCACAAGCTCTTCCCGTTTTTAAATCAACATAAAAAAGACATTTCTTCAAAGGGCTTCCACCAGACATTGGCTAAGCTTCGCAGCCTAAGACACACAGTGAATAATATACGCCATGCGGCAGTTCACAGAATTGTCCAAGACAGCGAATCCTTGCTTACAATGCTTCAGGCTGCTGTTGCTTTCGCGCGCTGCATCGGCGAGAAGGAGTGTACACAGCAGCTTGAATCCCTTTGCAGTTCTTTGGATAATTTAGTGCTTCAAATGGATGAGCGCTTACATCATCTTCACCAGAGGATAACATTTCAGATTTATATATGTCAGTCCCGTCCACGAGAGCTGATGCAAAGGCGTGCTTTTCTTCCAGAGGCAGCCAGAAGGTTGACAGAACGTAACGAACATATATTTAATTCACAGGTACAGGACCTTTTGAGGAAGAACCTATTGTTGTCTTGATATGAGGCAAGCAACCAAGCCTCTGCTTTACAGCTCTCCCGAGTGAGATCTTGTTCCAAGCCAGAGCCAGGTCTAACGTATCACGTGATACAACACGTGAGCGACGCGGCAGTAAACAATGCTCCCCGCAAGTGTGCAACTGCCATTCGCAACGCTTGAAATCCAAAATGTCCACGGAGATTGACGAACTACGGCGCCTCCTGGCAAAGGAAAAGGAGAAGACATCCAAAATCAACCTTCCCGCTTTCCTTGACGGTCTCCATAACCACCTCTTCCTTGGTCTCGCAGTTCAGCAGGACAAGACACAATCAACGCGTGGAGATCCTGCAAATGCGACCAACAAACTGCGCCCCAGAAAACTCAAAGCCTGGGACTCTTTCGCGAAAGAACAAGAGGACATTTGGCGATTGTTGATGGATTCTTCGCTTGTCGAAGCCAAGCTGTTCACTTCCCTTCATACCTTGGAAGAAATAGGCGAGAGCATCCGGCAGCAGCTTGTTGGCTCGGAACTTGACCTTAGCACTTTCTTCGCCAAACCGTGGAGGACCACGTTTCGAAAATCATCGAACAACTCTACAGTGATCCAAGACTGCGACAAACTTTTGGGTTGAGAGGGTCGATACGCTTTGAGAACCACTCCAATACACTGAGCCCTGAGTGGGAACTTGAGGAGCGAATGCAGAATATCGATTTACGCGGTCCGCCGCGACGACTTTCACCGCGTTTAGCTGCCCGAGAACACAGCGAACCAAGCACCCCCGCGGTGCGTCGCCCGACGACACCACCTCCGGCGCGAAGCAGCAGACCTCGTGCCGATCAATTTTGCGTATACAACATCCCCAGCCAATCATCCGAATCGATCCATCGCGTTGCAGCTTATATCAAAGAGTACAAATCTCCGCATAAGGTCACACTGGGCCACATCTATGAAGGGCTGGAGGATATGGACATCGATGAAGTGGTTGAGCAACAAGATGACGAGACCCTAAAAATTCGGTTCCGTCGCGCGATTGCTGGGCTTCTCGTGCAGCCACATGACTACATGATTCGTGCTGGTACGGAAATGGGAGTGCTAAGCACCGGCGAAGCTGATATTTATCTGCGAATCGGAGAAGATCCCGGGACGCTTCTCTACCACCTCTCTGTTCCAAAGGGAGATGTTGGGGACTTCACTGGCTGGAACCCCCAATCAAACGGCCCAAATCGTCTGCATTTGACCGCCGTGGGGCAAGCCCTTGCTTTCACTCTCCAGGCGCTCAAGTTGCAGCCTCGGAATCAAGCTTGGAGACAAAAAGCAATTGACTCATTGCCAAGATGGGAAGTGGTAGTCGCAGATGTTCTGGGCAGTATCCCAGATGAGGAGGTACCGTCTTCCGAATATCGCCCTCCAAGGACGGACGGGTTACTTCGAATGTCTCCGATACAACTGCGTCGCAGGCGAAACAAGCCCAGTCCTGGTGATTGCCAACCAATACACGCACAAGGAGATGCAGACGAGGACCAATCTGACCCCGATACGCCGAGCCGGGACCCACGAGTTTATCGCAATGTCGGACGGAGACAGCCAACGTCGATCCATCCAGCATTCACACCAGCCACGCAAAGGTCGTCCTCGAGGCAAAGTGAAAATTATCGGTATTACTGCACGCTAAAGTGTCTATTTGGAATGTTAAATGGGGGGGAGCTAGATCAGTCTTGCCCCAATGTCCTTGATCATGGAAAAACGTGCCATGTTATAAATGGAGTCACTTTCCTCAAAGGGTTGCGACATCAATTGTTTGAGACAGTTAATGCAGATTGCGAAGTGCTGGGTATGCACGGCTCTCGTGGTGCTCTTTTGAAAGTTACGTTATCATCGCACGGATATACTGTCCCTGCAAAATGCACCGTACCAGAGTTTGCGGAACGGTTTCGGCGTGAAGCTGCTGTATACGACAGGCTCCGTCCAATCCAGGGCATATACATACCTCTTTACAGCGATTTTCGAAAACAGTTTACCCCTTATGACACTTGCACTTCGTTTCTCGGCTCGTACCCGAGACCACGCTAACCCCATATAGGCTACTTCAAAACCAACCCCTGCTTAGCTGTATCGGAGTATATAACGTATTGAGATTCTGCGTCGAATTACACGTTGTTAATTACCGTATACGTCCATGGAATGTTCTAGGAAGGAAGGCCGTTGCTAGGACAACGGCCACCAGTCGATCTGGCCAGATCATGTCCACTCCCTTTCTTCCTTCTCCATAGCTATTATCGTCATACACGACGAATACTCCGTAGAGCACTAACGTTGGTAGGCTAAGTTGGTTCTCGTTTATGCTCCCTATGGCCCTCGTCCCCTATCGCCACTTTCAATCGTCATTGGGCTTCTTGCGATAGCCGGCACCGCCCGTCCACTCATGCTGACAGACCTCCAGAGCTTCGATCGGGTGTAGATATGAACGGCAGTCCCTACCACGATGATTATATCTCACAGCTCCAAGAATCCGAACCATGGGAACAGGATTCACAATATTCTCCCCCTACCCCGGGATACTTCCGAAGCCCATATGCTACATCTCCCAACTGCAGTCCTTCACCGTTCGCCCCATTCGACAATGACCCCAACCCGGCAAGCCAACTTCGACCTAGTACTTTACCTCTGCTACAAGAATCCGAATGGGAGTCAGACAAGGCCTACGACGAAGAATCACCAACCTGCATCCACTATTTCATAGAATGGCGAGTCACCCTCAACAACAAGACCGTCGTGAAAGACACGGAAGAAGATATTGTATTGGCGCCGGGCGCCTACTGGAAGTTGTTCTTGGAGGAGAAGCTACACACCGTCATCCAAGAGAAAGTGTCTCGCAACAGAAGGGTCAGGATCGATGACACTGCAATCGTCGTGTCAAACAGCGACCGTACCCAGCGTGATCTGAACAAGCGCTTCAACAAAACGGAAATAGTTTGGGCCCCTATTGAGAAACAATTAAGGATGTGGTCGAACCATTTCTGCCGTGGAAAAAGACTCACGCTGAGAGTCTGTTTCAATTATGTCGAGGACTGCAGTTCCCCACCCGCCGGGCGAAAGGGTGAAAAAAGGGGGAAATCCTCTGTCACAAGGAGGATGCTTGACGACCGAGATGCCCAGCTGGATGCTGAGGAAAATGCATACGGACAGCAATCGATTTGGCGGCGCGTTTATGATTTGATGAAATGTGATTCAGCCGCATGCCACTTGGGCCCTTATTGCTGGCTAGATCCAAACGGAAAGAAGCATTATCGACTCCGCACGCAAACACTCAGGCGTCTGGTAACCTACGCCGAAAAAGGTGGTATCCTAGAGACGCACAGAGACGTTCCAGATGAAATTCGAGATGAGCTCTACATGGAAGAGCAGCAGAGGGAGGAAAAAGATAAGCGCAAAGGCGGTAATATTCTTGGCAGTCAAATGTCGCATTCGCCGATCAACATCAATGTTCATCCCCCTGGAGTGGCCACAACGGCTTCAGCTGTTGAGGCAGCTAGGCCAAAATTTGCGAGTCCGCTGAAGATTCCTGGTCTCAAGGACGTGGCCGTCAAAGAATATGGTGAGTGGCTTGCATCGAATGTATCTGATGATACTCTCAAAGCTGCATTCCGACAAGCGTGCGATATAACCCTGTCAGATGGCTTTGAGCTTGAGCACATCTACAAGGATCAGAACCCGGAATTTTTCGTCAGCAAAGGGATCAAACCCGGGGTTGCTCGGAGTTTCGTAGAAAATATTCGTGATTGGGTTGAGAATGTGAAAAAGGCATTGCCTGTTCTCGACTTGGTGTAGACGAGCGTGTGGGCGTTGGGTGCGGTTATTTGACGGTTATTTTTCCTCGCTCAGCTTGTATACAACTTTCTTTCCGAGACAATTCTTTTAGTGAATTTCGTTCCAAAGTCAAATTAGCGGTCGGATACTGTAACGTGAAGCGTGGTAAAGGCTCTCGCACACTGGTATTGTGACGTCCCGTAGGCTCGGGAATCAGCCTGTTTTCTGGCTCAACGAGTCTGTCTGTCAAAAGCCCCCTTTTCTTTTCCTTTCATATGCCTCAGTCCCGTTCTCGAAGTTCTGGAAAAAATCATTTGTTCGGAGAGACTCGTGATCGTGCGAACTCGACGCGAAAAGGAGGAAGGCTAGTGGTCGTTGTTTAACCGTCCTGGTGCTGAAAGGAGGACAGACGTTCGTGGTTGCAAACAATGAGCTAAACAGTTTGTGAACTTTGGAAAAGCTGCAAGTACACGACGCCCTATGTCAATGTTCCTTGCTAGTATCTGGTTGTGAAATCATTGCACCAGGGGCTGGGTGTAGCAGCGCGAACTTCTTGGCGCTTAGTAAGTAACATCAGCCGACAGCAATATTATGTGGATTTGCGTGAATTAATTTCCAATATTAAAACGGGATAACGAATGCAACCATACAGGGATGACTGCATATGACGGACGTGAAAGGGCCTACAATGATGATGGAATCGCCCTAGCACATCACTTATTTGATGTTCGTCATTACGGTGATGCTTTTCAACAGTCAGCAACAAATTGCGGAGCAAGGAAGATATTGAACGGTTATTTGTATTCAATCGAAAAACGGGTTGCAGTATTGAGGATGTAGTACTGTAGTGATTCATCAGCAATATTTTCCGTTTCACTGATTGAATATTACAATCTCCAGTTTTTTGTGCTGTATGGGCCCATTATTGGGGTTGTTTTCAACCATCGACGGTTGATGCCAAAGGCTGAATAACTCAATCAGCAATAACTCCCCACCGTGCATCTACGCCTCTCCTCCGATATGGTCTGTTTTACGCCCGAATGGGAGGAACCTGTTTTAGTTGCCTTGGTTGTGACGGAATATTTTGAAAAAGTCTTGGGCTGTAATTACTGTATCACAACTGTAAAATTACACTCCATCATTCTTTATCCCACTTTAAGCGCCCAGGCATTCTTTGGCCATGTGTTTAAGAATACAAAATACTTACTGTTCGTATAACAAGATTGAGATCCAGATGAACGAAATTTGCCACGTCATTCATCGGATCTCAGCCCCATCGAGACCTTCTTTGTCGAGCTGAACGGTTAAGTTATATCAAGAAATCAAGAAACCTTGGGCACCATATCAAGAAGATCCTGATCGAGGGTTTTATATCTTTATTCGGAACTATTATACAGAAAACGACAGCGTAATTTTAATGTGTTTAAACCCCATACATTCACTAATCAGGCACAATTGCTGTAAGACCCGCTATAAGTTATGAGTTTATAGGTTTGTTATGATTAGCAAAACCTGCCCCGTGATTTTCAAAGGTCTGAAGGACAACTGTAACAGCCCCATTCGTGGGAATCTATCTTTATCCCATTTCCCATATAGGAAGTCCCACAGGAAATGCTAATGTCTAATCAGGACAAAGGGAGCCGTCGGTCATTCTAGAATCGTTGTCTAGCCTTTCCAGCCACTCATTTTGCGTTGCGCTCCCTCCGCGGTCTGCACCATGAAAAAGGACTACATAATTTGCCCTGGTACTGTATTGCGCCGCTGGTTACTTGTGCGACTTTTGCGTCAGCATCCCGCAAAGCTGACCGGGTGAGTCCGTGGGTTATGTTCGAGGACAGGATATTGCGAAGCCGTGCCGCAGCCGTCATTACCACGCGTCTTTGGCCGTGCTCAGCTGGGTGGAAGATACTAATGCAGAATGATATACTGCTCACAGCCAAGGCCCTTGCCACGCGTCCAATCGATACGTGTCAACAAACGCTAGCTGTAGGGGTGTGGTCTTGGAAACTTGGACCACTGGAGAGAGTAAAATCGCTCACCAACATGGAATTGTCGTTTATCCACATAGGGCGATCATGTCTAGAATAAGTCCGGTTAGCATCTGTATTGCTTACTTGCCAATGCTGCTTCAGCTGCGTTCAGCAATGGCTTTGTGTAACTATCAGATAGCGTGAGGGGAAGGGAAGGGGCTCGTGTGTAAAAAGCGGATTTCGTTTGCCTATAGCAGTGATCAAGCCACCAAACCGGATTTAGCGTTCTGTTTGCTGAAATAGACCAATAACGTCTGCATATATTGTTGCACAGATGAAATCACTCTCCGGTCTCGAATCCTCTGGATATTATATAAACGGTGTGTTCACACCACATGAACAAACAACATGGTCCGGAGATCAAGACCCTTTTCCAGATTGACATACGAAACAAATCCTTCTGATAGTGTGTACCTCAACCCTTGAGATGACGAAAACCGAAACCATGACTGTGTTATCCGTCAAAGGTAATTTATCCTCATATTACAGCAGGGTCTATTCTTAGGTGTGCTTATATCCCTTCATAGAGAACTTAACATCACAAGAAAACCAAAAGCATCAATTTCCCGTGAACTATGCTTATGACTACCTCAATGGGGGTATTGGGTATCTTTCCCTTCCACCTCTAACCCTCAATAAACTTCTGCAAAACAAGGAATTCCTTCAAATGGCAGGTCAACGTGATCACAGCGGGAAGTACACTCAACGGAGTGACAACGCTATTGATATTTTCCCATTGACGGCTGGCCTTCCCTGGGCAACCGGTATCCTGTCATGTCGCCAAAACAAGCACTGGAACGTAAGCATAGAGACGACAAGAATATTCCTTCAACACCTCGCTGCTGATAAGTCGACACAAGACCTGTACAAATCTGGACATTCAGTCGCCGAGATCTCACAAAAGGAACTCGATTCAACCCTAGAGGAAGGCTGGGTCAAGTTCCCAACCTACCTGTTTCCTGAGGGCGATAAAGAGCGCACCAAGCTTCTAGCCGCCGTTAATGTTTTTATCTTCGTGTTTGATGGTATAGTAGCTCGAGCTTTCCCATATACAGCTGGATGACTTAGTGCTTACATTTTGTATTTTCTGTTAGATTTCTGGGAGATGCACGATATTACCTCAGTAAGCGAGCTAGACAAGGCATGCATACTTATCCCGAAGTATAAGCTCACAAATAGTGTGTCAAAGTTCACCAAAGTGCAAGACGAGTTTATCGCCCGTATGCAGCCCCGTTTGAATAACATCACTTCACCGAAGACGAAGCTGCAGGTATTGATTGACCAAGCAATTGAAGAGATTTACGGAGTGGACCGAGCCTCTGGTAATACTGCTGGTCAGGAAATGTTGGAGCTTATGGTGCGTTTCTTCTCCCGACCACCTCCACCGACACAATACAAAGATATGGAGGATTTCTTGTTGTATCGGCATGAGGATGCGGCGGTCCCGTAAGTACGAGTCTCTAGATGTCCCATACTGTACCGAACTGATGATAGTTAGGTACGTTCTCGGCTGTACCAAATTCTCCCTTAATTCCTCTGTCGACCTAGACAGTCCTCGACTTGCGAGATACCTCCGCCTTGTGAAAGACCATGTCTCAGTGGCAAATGACCTGGGGTCTTGGGAAAAGGAGAAGAAAGCCTTTGACACTGGCAAGGTCCTTTACATGATCAATGCGGTTGATGTGGTTAAAGACCTCTTCAAGTTGCCTTCGTACAGCGCAGCCGTAGCGATGACACAGGCTTTCCAGCTACAGATTGAGGTTGAAATAAATGCAGAAATTGAGCGACTAATTGATCAGGATGATCTCAACAACGAGGAATGGCGATTTATTGATGCCACACTTCATGTTATGAGTGGAAACGTTTTTGTCTCCACCGTTATGTCAAGGTACGGAGGAGAGAAATTCAAGCTTTCTGGTACCCAGTAAGCCCCCGGATCGTCGAGGTGGCAGGGGTGACACCTGCCCAAATTCACAGGGCCACTTCATTTTCATGTTCGTCTCGTTTGCATCTCAGTGGAAAGTTCTAGCTACCATTGATTGTCCACACTGCCAAGAGACGTAAGTCATGTAATTTATGGAAGTAAGATACTGTATAGATAACGATACGGGAAATTGCTATTCCAAGACTATTCTCAATATAATATAGTGGACTTTGGCATTAGGTTTCGAGAAATAATCGAAGAGTGTAGGTGGTGACACCAGTTTCGGGACGTACTGTATGGTGTTATCTGAAGGAGAATTTCAGTCACCGAAATCCTCAACACTGAGGCCTGCGTGCCGAAAATGGCCCCTAGCACTGTCTTTCTTTGCCCCAACCTGATTGATGCATCGTTCAAGGAAGGTGCCGAAATCTCGGTCAGGATCATCTGCAAAGTAGCTCCAATTACGTTTTATGCAGCCTTTAAGTTCAGAGAAAAATTCTTCAATTGGATTGAGATCCGGCGAGTATGGAGGCAGATAGACGACTTTCACGCCGGCGTCAGCACACATCTGTGAGATTCGTTCGGAGTGGTGAAAGGACGCATTATCCATGACTAGAACAGACTTCGGCTCGGGCCATCTTCCGCAATGTCGAAGGAGTTCATCAATAAAGTCCTCGAACGCGGCGGCATCCGTTGACCCACGAAAGACGCGGCTAAGCAAAATACCATCTTGGGCGTATGCAGGCAGAATTTGATAACGTTCGTCACGGTGAAACTGTGACACTTGTCGAGGTGCTACACCGAGTGGTGACCAGCCTGTGCGTCGGAAACCAACTCGTTTATCACATCCAGATTCATCAACATAAACAAGGTGGTATGACTCAAATTCGGAGAGGTTGTGAAGATATATTTCTCGTAATTCGGCGTTCTGCTCTTTCGCTTTCTGACGGGCAGTCTTTCTCGACCAACGGTTGGATACGAGGGCCCTTCTAATGCTAGAAGTTGTTGCTAGCATCTGGAATTCATCCCATAAAAAGATAGCCATCTCGTCGAGGTACAGACCCGGTTTTTCCAGCAGATGATCAAAAAGCGCTTCCAGCATTGGGGGCGTTACGCTTCGCCTCCGTCCGATACGATTTGGGGGGGCATGGACGTTGCCAAACAGGCGTAAGTTTCTGCGTGTATTTTTGATTGTCTGTTCACTACACTCCGCTGCCTCCGCCATTTGATGACGCGTAAGTGATTGGCTTTGTATCATATCACCAATGAATTGCAGCTTTGACGGGGAAAGCCTCGGTGCCATGTCGCTAGGTGTTTTCGCAGTGCTCGCAGTTTAAAGAAAGTGTGCTGCGCAGGATGGATGAGGGGCATTGAAGTTGGGGTGTATGGAAGTTTCGTGTAAGATACAGTATTATAAGTAATACGGTCGTTCTGGGATTAAAGGAGTGGGCTATTATTAGAAAGCAATTAATTACGGCTTACCTGAAGGGGGCTAGCGCGGTTTCGGGTACGGGCCGAGAAACAAAGTGTGAGTGTCTGAGGGGTAAACTGTTTTCGAAAATCGCTGTACCTTGGAAGCATCGACTTGGCTCATCCGTACAGCTACGACGGGATCGCGTATCTTGAACATATGATGTTATTGAGTCCGGGAGGACAGCCTCTCGACCTGGCACTGAAAGAAATGGGGCGGGATTGCCTCATTGCCAAGATGAAGGAATCACTTTCAGAGATGCACCGTCTGAATGTTCTTCATAAAGATCCAGCCCCACGAAATTGGTTGTACAATCCAGAAAGCAAAAAGGTAGTCTTTTTTGATTTTGAAAGGGCCGAGATCATTGAATCGCGGCCCATCTTGGGAATAATATCACCAAATCGCAAACGAAAGCGGATGCCACGTGATGGGCTTGACAAAAAGCTGTCTGGCTCAGATTTTGCCAAGGAAATAAGCAGAGCAGTGCAGGAGTTGCGAGGTTGGAACTAGGATCCAGTGAACGTTAGTCACGGTTGGTCCAACGATCGCGCAAAATAAGTAATGTAGATTATGTTCGAAATCTTTGTGTCAATCATTTCATATATTTACGCTTCGTAGCCGTTATATTTTTTACTTTGAAATTGAAAATTTAAAATAGCTTTGAACCACTATCCTTCAATGACTAGTTACAGCCGCGCGTGGATCAAATCCAGCGCGTGGTATGGTTGACTCGCGAGACTTTCCACTGTCGTTTCCAGACCTGCTCAGCATGGGCTTCTCGAATCCTGGATTGCTCCATAGCAACACGAAGTTTCCGGACTGCTTGAAATACCCGTTTATTGGCAAGCGGCCTTACCTCTGGCTCGAAGTGATACTGCAACATCAACTCTTGTGAAACTTCAATAATAGCCATTGTCAAATTGAGAAAATTCTCGAAACAAGAGCGATAAAACTGGTTCTCATTTTCTTGTTGATCCCGTTGACAAATTCTTTCTTCCTTCAACTCTCCAAGTGACAAGCGGTTTCGTGACTTTGAGCACTTCAGACGCATTCGGGTGGTTTCCAATGCCATGGTAGAGCCTCGGGCCAGTGCAATCTGATGATCCAGAGAATTTATTTCCGGTAGATCGTGTCGAATAGGAAGTATCATTGGCATGGGATTCGACAGGCTTTTCGGAGATTCCGGTGAGCGACTGTAAATGCTTGAGGCATCATCTGCAGTTGAATGCTGCTCTGTCGCATTCAGTGACATTTTCGGAGAAAAGTGGCCGCATACTTCCCCTTGATACTTGGATTGTTTTATATGTGTGCAAAGAGCCAAGTGAGCCAACCCCTGAGTAGGCACACTTTTCTGCGGCGGTTGCTGAAACATTTGAAATTTCCACACTGTACAGGCTGAAGACCAATCCAGTGTTCAATTTCCTGCGGGTCACTCATTTTGAGAAACTTTCCATTTTCACGTTACTTTCGCTATAAACACTGATGTTTGGAAGCATTCTTATTTCTGCGGGCATAATTGAGGAAGAAAATAAGATAAAAGATAGAAAACAAAACATAAAAGCGCAGATTAAAGAATACCATTCTGTTGGCTGGCCCAAAATTATGCTTTACGTAAGCTTTCTCAAGAATGAACGGTTGGAGAGAAGACGGCGTGTGATTGGCGCGCGTACCCGGCGAGTCGGGACCCTGGCCGTGGTGGAAGCTGGGGCAGATGACGTTCATTTTGGCTTTCACTGTGTTTATCATGTTTGCATGTTTGCATTTTCTTTGTTTAGTTTGCATCTTTTGCATTCGGGGACGAACGATTTAGAGACTCGTCTTGCGAGCATCCTGAAACTGTCGCCCAGTGGGCTGGCAACCACTTTCCAGTTGTCAGAAGGCGTGACAGCACTCCCACATAGCAGCACATTTTTAGAGCGAGCTTCATAGGCAAATTAATCATCATAGTAAAAGTACAAAAGCGTTTATGGATTGCCGCAATGCCAACGACATATATTTGACCAGGTTGTCCAATGATGGAAATCTCTCCTGTGTCTAGTAGGTCTACTTTTAATATGGTCTGTTAGTGTCCTGATCGCTCCAAAGCGAAGTACTCGCCGTTTCAATATCGATCTTTTATACGTCCTTACATGTACGTTCGATCTGGAAGCATAGGCCAAAGTCTTCTTGGGTATGCAATACGTGAACTTTTACCAAACGGTCAGGCGTATTAGATTCCTTCGCAATGTGGGCCATTGTATTTATTTCTACATTTTTAAAAAAGCTGCCTTTGTATTGTTGGAGGGGGAGATATGCTCCGGTGTACATAGAACTTGCGTTCAACCCTCGGTTGCTGCTCGTGTGCTCGCTTGGATCAAGGGAATAGAGTGGACTTTTGGCTTACAGTCCAAAGTCACTCTACTTGAACGTATGGCTCGCGGCCTCTTTTCTATTCATTGGAGACGCACTCAGTTGGGAAGTCGAAATAGCTGCACCAATCACCATAATACAACCATAGCCTTAGATTCATCTAATATATGAGCGCCTTGAATCAGTCAACGTATAACAAATGTGCTATAATAATTCATAGTCGCCGCTTCTTGTTTATCAAGGCAGGCTCCAAGAATTGAACATGACGTTTAACTCGTGGCGAACAGTAGCAATTCCTTTTCGGGGGCCAGGAAGCAACCAAATGGTCTGCACGACCAAAGTGGGAATTTGCTTGTTGGTCATCGAGGAGTTCTTGCACCGACTTTGGAAAGCCGCCAATCCGTTGGAAGGACGACGAGCTGGCAATCCCAATTGATGTCATTTCATGAAGTCCATTGATCGAGAATGCCACCTTTTTGCGGTAGTATCCACATACATGGCAACCGTCATCTTCATCGACGTCTCCGAGACGGTGGCCACGGGCTGTTTCAAACCTTGCACCTGGAAATTCAACCATCACCAGCTTCACCAGGTCCCTGGAATATGATCGCGAGCACAGAACTGAACCTTTACAGAAAAAGGCACCTTGTCTTTTAATTGGCAACTCATCGAGTTCGAAGAAGAAGAAGGCGGTCGCTAGGATAGTTCTCACTAGTTCAGTCGGAACCGTAAAATGCATTTCGGACATCTCTTCTAATCTGCTCACATCGTCCAACCGAGGAAGTGGTTCAGGTAGCTCGTGATTCAGCCGAAATATGTTCGATCTTTTTACATCTGGCACGAAATTTAGTGCCTCATGAAACCCTTGCTCACCATCCATACATGGGGAGGACATTGTCGCTCGGATCATGCGAGGGATAGCAGTGTCTTGCAATATACCCCTAGCAGCCTCATTTGGCTTAGTCATAGAAGAAAATGACCCCGTTCCCACTGACAAGAGTAGATCATGGGTTTTGGCTGAGGGCCAGATAACCACTGACTCCTTGAGCGCAATTGCCAGAGGATTGTTGGCACGAACTCCGCCATCCTGCAGCGATCCGAATCCTGGAAGGGACTTTGATCGAAAAAAGCTGCTGTTATTAGCGACCATCTTCAAAGCTACCGGGACACTCACAAAGGGGCTGCGACGCTGCACTGAGCTCTGTAGGTATTGTTCGTCAGCAAACGCTTCATTCGTCGTTCCAAGGAATAGTATGTCAGATTGATGGTAGCTCGACGCGACTCACACATTCCATACGTGAGGATTCTCATCCTCCGTCTTAGGGATAAGGAACTGATACGCCGCATTCACTTCTCGCTGGCCCGTCCCACGATAATTCGCCAAAACACATGCCTTCCCGTCAGAAGTACGACTCGTGATAATGGCAACTCGACAACGGGTGGAGCTCGTCGTCGTCACATCAAACATCCGACGTTGGGGGTCGACCACCTTTTGCAAGGTATCCTCTAGTCGTTCTGAGTCGTACTGGCAATCGGCTAAAAAGCCTGCCAGGTATTTTATCCATGTAACACACCGAGATATTGGGGATTTCGGTGCACGCTTACGAGGCGAACCGAAAATTATCCGGGCCAAAGCCGGAAACTTGGCGCAACTCTCCTCGGCAGATAGGCCATTCAATACTATGTCCACTTCCGAAAGCGCCCCTTTTATAAGGATCAGTGTCTTTATTCAAAGGTGCAGACTTCACAATGACAGTTGGATGCTCTTACCAACACTTGTCCCGGCAAATAGATCAGCGACCTGTGCAATCGATATTCCGCCAATCCGCCTTTCTAACGCTCGCAGGAGCCCTAACTGAATGATACCACGAACGCCCCCTCCATCTAGACTTATCACGATCGGCCCCTTGGTTGGCGGAAGTTGACGAATCGTGAGATTCACTGCCTTATCACAGATAGGGCATTGCCGTAGATCGATATGGTACTCTGCCCGGGAGCTTGTATTACCATATATGACAAAGCAATTGTCACAGATTGCATGCTTGCATGGCAGCATATGCTCTGGCGGCCCGGACATGCAAGTAAAGCATGATGTTGTTGAATGCAATCCTCCCCACCGACGATGGAACTGTACAAGCGAATCGTGACGGACGTCCGCTGAGGCCTTGGAACTCAATTCAGCAAAGCTCTCGGTGAAGTAGTGCATAATTTTATTGCAGATTATTTCAGGGTCTCTCCCTTCCCAGACATTCCAACAATGTGCCCGGTAAAGGGCATTGAAAACTGTTTTCGGTTCGAAAACTATAACAATTAACATTATTAGGGACAGTCTGTACAAAGACTTTGGGGGGTGACAGAGTGAACTTCCAGGTGCGGAGATTACTCACGATGCATCTCAGGCGGATAGGCATCCATAAGGAGAGCCGAGGCGATAAAGCTGTAAACCTCATTCTCAGGGCAAGCAGAACTTGCAAATTGACTTTGTAACTCCACAAAACAACTGGCCATTGCTGCTTTCCTTTTAAAGCCCTCGCGTGCCACCAAAAGACAGTCAAGGCTGGCTGGGTTTGAACTTCCCATTCGAAGTTGAAGACCTCGGCCCCAGAGTGCGTTGAGATGTACGGCCGAGAATGAGAGGCATTTTTCTTTCTGTAACGATCGAATCTGTTGGATTTGGTCAAGAATTAGGCTTCTCAATGGGTCAAATGCAACAGATGGTGACAATTTCGACCGGTCGCGGAGATCCAGAATTGTGAGCTTGTGCTGCCCTAACCATGCATTGGGTAATTCAAAGCCATCATCCGCGCCATGCGCTTCAAGTTGAGAGTCGCCTGACAGCACAATTACCACACGCATCATGCTACGGATATGTGAAGCTCCAATCGATAGGGTCCCAATCGGTGCATCTAGCAGCTGTTGCACATGTTGCATCTCAGAGATGGTGTCGACAAAAAAGCAGAGAACTTGCGTCCATGGCAAAATTTTCTGTCTTATCACTTCTTGTTGAAGGTCTGCTAGAGGCTGAGACTCCCCAAGGGAGAGAGGATATCGTCGATGTCTGTCTCCAGACCACCTAAGCAAGCAAGTGTCACCCACCCCAGCTTGACTAAAAGGGTTACTCTCGGCAAATATGATAGGATGCTCAGTATGTGCAGTTGCTGTACTAAGATGTACTCGAATGAGTCCAGCAGGTCCCTTGCGAGTGACGTTATTGCGAGGAAACAAAGCTTGCAGGGCCTTGACGCGATTTCCATTGCCCGCGAAATAGACAAGAGAAGGGTATTGCGAGTTGGGGTGGCTCATTCCTTGGACAATTTCTTCAAATCGCCCAGTGTCTACCAAAGATCTGCCTGTGGTATCCGAGAGGATATCGAGCCATGCCGCCATAATGATCCCTTGCACATTACAGAGAAGATGGCTTTCTGAGAGCGCTGGTGCCTTTATATTTTTGTAAGTTTGTTTGATTGCCTGCCATCAATTACTTGGTATCTCCATGTGACAGCTCCGTCATAGCGATAAATGATTTGGCCCTCACATTGTTATACCGTAGTTTCCAGGAATTAGGCTCTAATTGTTTTTAGTGAGGAACCCTCGCATAAGTTACGAGGTATTTTTAATTGGTATCCCGTCCGCAAAACATCAATACTGATGGGCTTCTATTACCTCCAGCCAAGTGTCCGCTCGGTTCGATGCTAGAATTCAACTGGTTACATAGGAACTTCCAATATCTTGCGCTCTCACCCTAGTGGTCGCGGCTAGCTGTACCATGCACTTCACTTTTTGCGGTATCCTTTGATTCGCAATGGCCAAGAGGAAAATGAGGGGCAGTTAATCCCACGCCAGCTAATATAAATGTTACATCACCCCTTCGGCTTTCAAGTGTATTCTAATCTTTTCATACATCGATTCATATCGTGAGCCATGCAGTTTGATAAATCAGAGATTGTAAGAAAGCGAGCGGGGCATGCTCAATCCCATTCCACTCAAGGTATACAACGCACAAACACCACTTTCAGCCAAAGCCATGATACGACTTATACAATAATGTTAAAAGAAGAGGCGCAAATGGATTGGAAATACAATGTCTCGGTTAGCATAGCAAATTGGGCCCTCCTTGCTGGATACTTGGTAATTCCCGGAACATTTACTTCGCTGAAGGAATCAAACCAGGTAGAGGAAATCTTAGAAAAGAACACCGCGGGGCGGGCTGTACTACACACTATACAAAATCCGCCCTTGCTCGTGGTTGCTTGCTTATTTCTTGCCGGTGGAGCCGCTGCGTTGACCGTGCTTTTCCGAAAAATTCAAAGCAACTATTTATGGCTCATCAACAAGATCTTTATGTAAGGACTATAAAAACTAGAGGCTTAGGGCCTTGCATTGACAGGACTATAGGCCAGCTGCATTAAATGCGGCCGCTGGGCTTCTCACCACGCTTGTGAACATTTACACTTCCCGATCAGGCCACTGGTCTGTAATGGCCATTGTTACTATCATCGTGACTGCTCTTCTCATGATAATATTTTCTTTCTTGTTTGCTTATTACAAATTTATCAAATTGAGAAGGGTGATAGCGGCCGACGAGGAGGGATTCGAACACCAGGGTTCTTCGCTGGAGGCATTGCCTGTGTGTTCTTCATGTGGACGCCAATGGAACGGTGCATCCACGGATTAAATGGGTATCATTGAAGGGAATTGGTAATACTAAATATTTTAAGTCCGAGTATCATAACAAAGGCAGCATGTACTATGCAATGTATTTTACCTATCTGATGTCGTTCAATTGTTTTCCGCTTGCCTACCAACTTAAATCTTGCATTTTCGTTGCCAAGCTCCAGTATGGCTAGCCACAAAGCACCTGAGGCTTATTTTCCCTTTCTTTCGTTTTTTTTTTTTTACCCTTTTTTCTTCCCTTTTTCTACGTATATTATTCACCTATTATTACAGCGAGGCGATACTCGACCAGCAAATGAGCTTCCAGAGGTGGTACTGGAGGAGTGCACAACTATATTGTTTCACATGCTTGTTAAGCAAATTAAGATCTATCCATGTGAATGGAAACTGTTTGTTGGAGTGAACAGAGTGTGGTTGGAGGGATGTTCCTGCAATTTCCCCGAGTGATTGCAGGTGAGCACGTTACCCCAAAACCATCATCATTTATTCCTATATAACACTGAGTTCAAACTACCGGCTGCTCAGGATGTATAGATTAACCCCTTCGCCACATGCTAGTGTTGTCCAAAATCAAAGGTTGATATTCATTCTGAGTCCAAATAAACAAAGCAAAACGGAAACGATTTAACAAGTATGCTGAATAAAGTTCTCACATCGCCTGCGATGGAAAAGGAAAATTGCTACCATTCTCGTCACATCACTGTCGAGATAATTGGATCACTACAAATGACGAATTCTTTGATCGCTCTCTTCACCCTAGATATTCATACCCATATCATCTTCTACAAAGTAACCTTGCTGCCTCAACGAGTCCATATAAACAAATGCAGCAGCTTCAAATCTCGCAATGGATGCATCATCGAGGTTACTAAAATCGGTTTCCTCAATTTTCGCTCTTTTCAACCATTTGTTATAGAAATTGCTCAATTTTGGCGGTGGCCGACTTTGATCGGATCCGCTGGTTGTATCATTGTTCAAGTCATTCGTGTTGCGAGGATTATTGTTTTTAGCGTTGACGTTCTGACCAGGAGCGTTCCGAACAGGGGCATTCTGACCAGGGGCGTTCTGACCGTTGGTACTGAAGTCAGTGACAAACAGTTCGTTGTCCTCGTTGTCCGATTCTTGCTTCACCGGAACTGAACCAAAACGCTGGGTGTTGTTCGCCGTTGGTTGGCGATTTCCTAGCCTCCACGGCTCTGGGTCCGACTCCAAACTTTGTGCAATTGGCATAGAAGGCTCTCTTGTAAGCTCGCGCTTTATTCTCTCCTCCTTTTGTGCCTTGAAAGTATCCAGCGGGCAAGGGGTGGGTGAACGATCAGGGCTGTCTCTTCCCGTTTCGCCCTGCCAGTAATTGTAACGTTTTTCCTGTAACTCCCAAGCCTCGGAGATCTTTTGCTCTGCCGTAGCTTGATCCGTGAGTCTAACCAGATCCGCCTTGGTAATCCAGCAGGTGTCCCTGGTCAACAGTTTCTGATGGGCAGCATCGATTCCTTGCCATTTGACTTTGACAAAAGCTGTGGGAGCTGTTTTGTACTCCTTGTTCGTGTCCTTTCTTTCCTGAAATGCCACACCAACAATGCCGACGATGTTGTTCCTGCTGTACCGATAGTGGTCTTCCCCATCTTCCCCTTCGTAGGTTAGATGCGAAATTCGGGTCTTGAGATTCGATACTTTCTGCAGTCCTTGGGTGTTGTATCCATTTGCGGTCTGAACCCGGTATTTTGCCGCTTTGTAGGGTCCGTATCGAACCAGCAATACGAGTGACCGTCCTAGACGGCTCCAGGCATCCGGTTCTCCATCGTGGTCGCGACCAATTGACAACTTCTTCAGGTCAACTAGGACCTCGTCCAACGAGTCATTGACGCCGACAGCAGCGGGAATACCAGGTTCAGCTGCATTCTCGGCCATATGAGCCGATCTTGAGCTGGCTGGAGGTGATTCAGATGTTCCTCTTTCAGGCTCATAGTCTTTCATATCCTGGTCGTTTTGTTCAACTGGGGCAGCTTCATTCGAACCGGCTGGGCTTGGCTGCTCCTCCTGAGAGTGGTACGGGGGCTTCGACTGTGACTGAACCGACTCGCTCTGATTGTCTGTATGCACGCCAGTATTTTTGCCTAAATTTGGCTCTGTGTACGAGGCTTGCGCATTTGCAGCAGCAGCCTTAGGTTGGGAGACTCCACTCCCACTTTCCGCCAGTCTTTGAAGCCTTCCTACATTATACTCTTTTGGTGCCTGGTTTCTCGTATTGCGTTTTGAAACTCCTTCTGCGTTTGAGGAAGACATAGCCCAATATAGCCGAGAAAGCTCTCCGAAATGGATAGTCTGAAGGAAAACGGAGATCCGTGTCTATTTATGTCCTAAAGGTCTACCGTGGACAATGTAGCTTCCTTTCCCCTTCCTTGCTGTCAGCTAGCACCGCAATGTCCAATATGACCCGGGATGCAGTTATCTGAGGATTTTAATTATGATGTGTAAACAAAGGAGCGATATCAACTTGATAGGTCAACTACGGTACTGATATTCCTCGCAGCATCGCACCAAACTGTAGGCTTGACGGGGAACAGCAGCTTGCTAACCTGTTAACCAGACATCACAAAGATGAAGACCAGGCGAAAGACGATACATTCGGCCTCCCTTCAATTTTTGGTATTTTCCAACCGCATTTTTGTTTTTGATTTTAAGGTTGTGTGATATTCCATTTTTGGAGACAGCACAATGTAAAGGATAGACTGATGGATGTACTCCGACCCCTCGCTTTTAGTTTACTTCTCAACTAGACTAAATACGAATCCGTATCCAGCCTAGTGGGTCGCGGTTTAGAATCCAACTCGCGAAGCGATATGCAGGCTACAACAACGGCATGTATCCTTGTACGTACAGTCTATGTAGAGCGTTTCACTTCCTAAAAGCGAACTTGGAACCTCGTCAAGCCTATCGTGGCCTAATTGCCATTCCCATTGTTAGGCTACCCGCTGTGACGCCTCGGCGAAGTCTAGCATGGCATCGACCGTAGCCCGTGACACGCTGTCTGGTTTACCTCTCTCACCTTCTTTGGAGCCTCGCAGCAGTCTCAACACGCTATAGAATGTGTCCCCAACTTTCTCCTTAATTCTCCTCGCTACTGGTGGAGTCTTGGCCAAGAGACATAAAAACGTTCTTAGCGTTGAGGCTGTATAGTCTAGAATCGGGTAACTCAAATTCCCTCGTGACTCTTAGGGGTTCCTAAGACCGGGAATATTTTCCTATTACGCCCAGGGTCAGGTAGCTTACTAGAGCAACCAGTTAGAGCATCAGATTGACCTCGTGGCTCCCCGTCATTCCTAGGACATCTTGGCTCATCAACATCAATGCCTTTCTATGATGATCATCGACGGGTGTAAGTATCTTTTTTCTTAGACCGCGTGAGCATACAAATAATATATCGAGTCACTCCTTCATGTACCTTCCCTCGCCCACTGCAATACCCTTAGTTGCACTATTTCAGATACTCTGCATACGGTTTCCTCTAAGGTAGTGGCACAACGCCTGCCATATACTCAATCTCAATTCGTTGACTTCCACTCGATATTGACTGTCCTCCGGCCTTGCTACAGTAATTGATCTCAGTCACTGAGCTATGTTTCTCCTCCATCTGCCCCCGGAATTGGTCATAATAACCGGGCAGTTCTTGGAGGAAGAAAGAGATATTAACTCATTATGTCGAACTAGCAAAAAATCTGTACGGTCTCCTGAATCCATGCCTTTATCGCATCAACGCTCAAAATTCAAGTCTCGCATTGAAATTGGCCGCTAGAAAAGGGAGTGAAGCTATAGCTCCAATATCCATCCAACAAGGCGGTGATGTTCGAGTGACGGACCACACTGGCCGGAGCCTGATATCTTTGGCCGCGCAGAATGGCCATGATAAGGTAGTGAGGCTTTTACTTGAGACAGGAAAGGTGGATAGATACTCGACGGATAATTGGGATCGAACTCCTCCACTACATGCCGCAGCAGGCGGCCATGAGGCGGTAGTGAAGCTTTTACTTGAAAATCGAAATGTGGACGTGGACGTGGACTATGCGGACTTTAAGGGTCGAACTCCGTTTTCATATGCCACACCGGGTCGGCCATGGGGCGATGGTGAAGCTTTTACTTGAAAATGGAAATGTGGATGTGGACACCGTGGACAATTTGGGTCAAACTCCGTTATCATATGCCGCAGCAGGAGGCCATGACACAGTGGTACAGCTTTTAGGTGGAAGTGGAAATTCGGTCGATTAAATTAAAGGGTGAAGAATGGTGTGACTGGTTTCAATCCATCCTGCCCATTTCATCTGTATGTATCTTCCTACTCATCGTCGGCAAGATAAAGCATAATAATGTAGCATATTGTGACGGCAATGGTCAAAGTCCAACCAGTAAGAGCAAGTGGCAAAGAACCTTGCGGTGCGAAAAGAACGAAAATAGACATGTTCAAAAAGCCCATCTTACTAGCTTCATAGCATCCACTAGACCAAAATGGTGGGTCAGCCGTATGTTTAATAATATGCTTCCAAGAATAGGCCCATACTTTAGCAACATCATGAATTCGCGGATGTGGTGGTTTCGGTACTGGGGGCTGAAAAATAGCTTGATTGAGAAAGAAAATACAACGCACACCGTTGTTGCTATTATGGCAGCTGTGAACTGACCAAAGTCGAAAAACCCCTGCCGGTCGGATTGTAGTGCCCATGGAAGTAGTAGAAAGCTGGGGGAGTTAGCCTCGGGACCGAAAATTCGGTTATAGTAAGAGAATGTGGATACCTGATTGATAAAAGAAAGGGACACAAGTAGCTACTTAGGCGTAACGCACAAGCTAGGAGTCCATTCTCGTGTCGCTCGTTATAGTGGTTAAGAGCGAGATCCATCGCGTCATAAATTTGCAACACATGTGTTGTCAAAAGTTTGAATGCTTTTTGCGGTCGTCTTTCCCCAATAGGATTGTGATAAGATGGTTGCTAGGCGAGTTTTAAATGATCGGAAAGTAGCTTGGACATATACATGGATATAGAGCGAAAATTGTAAAAGTCGGGCTGCAAGGTAGCAAGTTCCAACGGGAGTGCAAGGACGTGACAATTTGTGGAAGTGATAAAGACAAATAATCGCCGCAAATTATAAGTATGACCCACTGCCTGGTCCAAGATCTCACACACAGGTCGCCCTTCGAACTTCACGCCTCGAAACGTTCTTAGATCTAAAAACATTCGGTTCAGCAACTGCGATTTCGATTTCAATCACCAGTCTATTTTAGTAGCTCGAATTGAGATAATTCAAACTGTGTAACTTTGACCGTTCTCAATCTTAACCGCTTTCGGCCTTGAAGTGCCGCCCTCAGCTGGTTGACTGTCCTCAATTAGAAACAAGCGACGCCGCCCAAAAAGAATCTCAAAAACTCAAACATTATATGTGGCCTCTGGATGACACTTCCGTTGAGCAATCATAAGCCGATGGAACTGAGTTGGGTGGATGCTCCGTGCCCTTGCAATCGCAATTTTCGAGGTCCGCAGCATTAGCCCGAAAGAATAGCTGCAGTGAAAGAGGTGGGCTGCCTAACCGTAGAACTGAGGGCAGTTACTACCGGCGGTGTTGGCCAGCTTTGTAAAATCGACCATCTTAACAAAAATATTTAGATCAGGATGTATCCATTACTTGATATTGATGGCATAATTTTATGTGTCAGTTAAGTGATGGGTATGAGATAGACCAAGGGTAAGCCAGTAAAACCAGGAAAACCTATCGCCGACCGCCACATAGATGATGTCCGCCCAGAATTGAGTACTAGTGTTTCAATCATGACCAATTTCCGTGGTGGCTCTCTTAACCACCCTCTCTTAACCTCTTAACCACCCTCTCTTAACCTCTTAACCACCCTCTCTTAACCACCCTTTCTAAAAGCCATTGGTTAATGCCATTTGTTACCGGCACACGATGTCTAACCTGCTCCATCATCATGATGTTCTCTTACTAAGTTGCGTTGGTTAGATCCCAGGCAATATACGCGGACTGAGGCGACGTCAAATTCAACAGCTGCCCGCTCTTGTGCTCAGCTCTCAGCTTAAAAGCCCAGCTTGTCCCAAGGCATCGCTCCAATAAGCACACGATCCACGACCTAAATGGCTGACCCAAAAGCGCAGTCCCTGCACGATTTTGCAATCCTCACCATAATTAATGTCTTTGGATTGTTTTACTTTTACCTTTTTGTGATACATTTCCTGCTCTTCCATTTCCCCTCCACCCCCGGAGGTATTCTGGACTCCCTGTCCGTGCTAGCCTTTTGTGCAGGTGTCATCTTCTGGTGCTTGTCCAGCCTCTTCTGCCGCTTCCTAGACGCTTTCGGGGGCAATGATACGGCAGAGTGGCAAAAACTGGAGCTTGGAGCCACTTTAGTCCTGATCTGGGCGGCCACCCTTCCTTCGGTGGTTGTGCTGTTCCGCGCCGAACCCTGCCTCCAGCTCGGATACCTAGCTGCCTTTACCGTTGTTGCTGTCGGCATCCTGGTGGATTTTGTGGTCTCCGATCCCAGTGTTTATGCGGTTCAGTACTGGTTTCCGTACAGCTGCGTTTCACTGGGCTTACTTTCGCTCATACCAAGTATTTATGCCCTGACTGGAACGTTTCAAAGTCCGCCCGCGTTGGCGGTACACTTCGGCCAAATCGCCATCGGGAATTCTCTTGGAGCTGCGTTCTATATGCTTCGTCCGTTAGAGAGGATTGGTGTGGTGAATGGCTGGCGGCCTAGTCTCTATGTGATGCATTTCGTCCTGGCCTACAACGCCGTCACTTATTCGAGGGTTTTCTTACCTGCAGTACTTCAAAACGCAGCATAAGCTTTATCGAGTTCTAAAGAAGGTGTGGAGACTGCAAAGTTGGGTGATCGCTCAAATACTGGGGCCAGGATGAACTGGCAGGAGCAAAACATTTGATCATCACTACCTCTCATATCGCGTCCTTGCCTTGGAGCCTTCCATTGCCGATCGAAGAAGGCTACATCCTTGATATTGGAACCTGGAGGATTCGACCTTCTTTATCTGTTTACAATGTACCGCGATGGATGTGTATCTCGGATTGATTACATTTTGTATATATATCTCTGACACACGCAGAAACTTCTAGACTAAGTGATTGCCTAGGAATTTTTGTACTGCTTGTGTAGTTTCTGGTACGAGTGGAAGTGTTCTTTTCTCTCACTTTGGTGGTAATCTATTCCTATTGCACGACAGAGTGAGTGATTTTGCCAGGTCAACCGACCACGTTATAGATTA